ACAATATAGAAGAACTCAACCAGGCCTTGATTGGGTAAAACAAGAAAGCAGTATTTCTTGTTCGGGCAGTCTTCCCTTCACTATCACACCATGTATCTTCTATCGATAAGCTAAACGAGTCCCGCTGTTTAGCTTATCGTCAAGAATACGAGCGGTGGGGGGGTGGGGCGAAGAGGGGGAAGAGGCGGGAGGCAGTAGCTCACCCCGCCCTTCCGCCTCACTCTTCACTCGGCAATTCAAGAACTCACCCACACACCACCTCTTCCTGGTGTTATTTCTGCTGGCTGTGATGTGACGCTAGTTTGGTATTCCGACTATGTGAACATTATGTACAACAATAGAAACACGTAGCGACGTTCCAGCCTATCGTCAAGAACGCACTCCTGTGAGGTGGCTTCGACGAGAATGGACATGCTCCGAGTTACCCAGTTTACGTTAAAATGTCGTTCTAATTATCCTCTAATCAGCAACATGGCCGCAACGAGAGTTTCTTGGTTATTAGTTTCTTTCGAGTTAGTCTGTTTCTGACGCTGCGAGGCCGTGTGTGTAGCGTGGCGCGATCAGTACGGGAATGTGGGTCGCAATGAGTGGTGGTGTACTGGCGTGGATGAGGAATCGGAAGACGATTGGCAAGTCGGACAAGTCCAAGCACGAGAACAAGGCCAAGCAATCAGGCAGGGCCAAGCAAGCGGACGCAGCAGCAAGCAAGTCATGCTTAGTCTAGACGTCTCAAGATGTCGCAATTTCTCTGGCACCAATTCCGCCTTCCACATGTCCCCGCCGCCCTCACTCGATCTGCTCTTCCCGCTCGATCCCATTTCTGCCTTTCTACGTCTTGCTCCCTCACTTTTCCACGTTCCAACCCTCTCTTTACGTTTTCCGCTTCACCTCTTCTCCTCAACATCTCCCCCGCCTCACCCCGTCTTTTCCCTCTCTCCGCCCTCCTCCTCCTCCTCTCAGCCGCCCCCATCCAGGGCGCCTGTGTGCGGTTCTCCCTAGCAGACATGGTAGCCGCGACGAGCGACTGGGCGCCGCCGCTGCACTTGATGAGGGGCAGCTACAGCGAGCTGTTCAGGGGCGTGGACCCGCGCGATGGCGTCACGCCATGGCTCCTCAAGCGCCGCCTGCGCTGCACCGACGAGTTCCAGGCCGAGGTGAGGGGGAAAGACCTTTGAATCGACCCAAATGCTGCACTTGATGAGGGGCAGCTACAGCGAGCTGTTCAGGGGCGTGGACCCGCGCGATGGCGCCACGCCGTGGCTCTTAAAGCGCCGCCTGCGCTGCACCGACGAGTTCCAGGCCGAGGTGCGGGGGAGGGGAGATGTTTGCTTGCAGTAGCTGCCACGACCGCACTTTCCTTCTCACCAAAGCAGCTGCCTGATTGACCTTGATACGACACGTTGTTTGTTTTAGAGCCGAGCCGCGCGGAAGAGATCAAACATGATCAGAAGCTCTGTGCGTCCCCTCCTCCCTCCGTCCGCCCTTTCCTTCCCCTCGCTTGACTCTTGCCTTCCCCCATGTGGCGGAGATGGGGCATAAAAACCACCCCACTGTAGTAGAAGCACTGGACGACCCCTCCCCTCCCCCTCCCCCCCCCCCATGCCTTCCCCCAGGTGGCGGAGATGGGGCATAAGAACCACCCTCACCTGGTGCGGCTGCTGGGGTACTGCGATGAGCAGGACGAGCAGGGGCGCAGGGAGCAGGTGGCCGTCTATGAGTTCATGACTGGCGGCAGCATTGTGGACAAGTTCGGACTGGGTGAGGGGCACAAGCAGGGACCGACACCTCTCTGTCGCAGTGTGTGTGCCATGCCGCTGCAAGTGTGGTGCTCTTTGCTCATGGAAACTTGAATCGTGTAGAGCTTTTCTGTTCTGCTCTGTCATTAGTGTGCGCTCTGCTTCTGCTAGTGGGGCATATGTCAGGTGTGTTTGATCGAGGTCCCTTCTGGCATAGTCTGCTGACCCATTCATTTCAAATCTTTCTACCTTCTGGCGTTTGTTTGTTTCTCCGTGTGCAGGTTGCACCGGCACGCCTTTAACCCTGCAGCAGCGGCTGGACATTCTGATAGGAGTGGCGCGTGGGCTGGAGTATCTCAACACATTTGGCATCGTGCATCGTGGTCTCAACCCCTCCAACATTCTTCTGGATGCCCGCATGCACGTGAGTGTGGTCTGTCCCATGTGGCATGTGGTGTTGTCACTACACACACACACACACACACACACACACACACACACACACACACACACACACACACAAGCATGCTCCTGGATCGTGTGGAGCACCATACACATAGAGAATGGTTTATCCCGGTACGCTGATTTTGTAAATAAACAATTTCCTCCCGTCCCGCCCACATCACCTGGTTCCACCACCCGGCACCTCACTACACCGCGCTGCACACCACCACACACAACACGATGTCAGGCAAAGATTGCAGGGTTTGACTCGGTGGCGAGCAGTGCGGCAGTGAGTGAGGGCGAGCGGCCAGTGCTGACCACGGGCGTGCGTGGGTACGTGGACCCGCACCTGCTGCTCTCTCACGAGCCCTCCACCACCAACGACCTCTACAGGTGCTCGCCTGCCTGCCACTCTCGCTAATCCGCCCATGCCCCCCCCTTCTCCCCGTTCTGCCCCATCCGCTCACTCCGCTCACCCCGCTCACCCCGCTCACTCCGCCGCCTCTGCCTGCCTCTCTTGCACTCGTTCCATCTCCATCCCTCTCTTCGCCCCTATGTCCCGTGTTTTGAGTCGACTCAAAACTAAACTCTCTGCAAGACCACCCTACTCTCGTTCCATCTCCATCCCTCTCTTCGCCCCTATGTCCCTCTCCTCTTCCCCTCCCTCTTTTTCCCACCCGCCCTGTGCGGCTTGTGCGTGCAGTCTGGGGGTGGTGATGCTGGAGTTGCTGTCAGGCCGCCGTTCCCGCACTCCCAGACAAACCACGGCACAGACCTTCAGAGAGAGTGTGAGTGTGCGTGGCGTGGAGGTGGTGCGAGCGAGTGGAGCATTGGGGTGGGTGAGTGTGAGTGTGACTGTGTGAGAGTGTAGTGTTGTGTGGAATGTCAGCACAGTGCCTCCATCATTGACAGTGCCCCAAGTGTGACCCCAGATGGCTCTCAGAAGCTTCCATCCGTTCGCTGTGGTGATAAGGCAGCAGGAGAGTTCTCCCACTGGTCGGGCAACGTTTCTTTCTATCTTGCTTTTATTCAGCGCCTTACTTCAATCATCCACTTCTATTCACCCTTAGGCTTCTTGCCTCCTCTTCCTCCCCTTCATCTCACACCAGATTGAAATGCAGCTCCAAGCCAACAACTTAGCTGCTTTATTTGATCCCAACCTCGCCTCCTCCTTCCTCCCTCACACCGCCAACAACATCAGCGCCAGCATCCCTAGCAGCAGCACCACGAGCATCAGCATGCTTGCTAGTGCCGCCAGCACCAGCACTGCAGGCACAACAGCTGGGGGCGCTGCCGATACTCCACTGAGCGTGCCCATACCGAATGCGCTTATACCCAGTTTGGTGCAGCTGGCTCGAGCCGGCCTCGTATGCACAGCCATGCCAGCCTCCTCCCGGCCCTCCCTGGGAAGAATCCTTGCTGAGCTGGAGATTGTGCGTGATGACGTGGCAAAGGAGTTGAGGAAGATGGAGGAAGAGGCGGAGAAGCAGGCAGGAAAACTGGAGGAAGGGAGCGGCGGCGCTACAGAAGACAATATGGAGCAGGCCGGTCGTCTTGACTCGTGGGCTGCTCTCACCCCCCCGAGTGATATTTCCTCCGGTCCTCCTTCCCAACCACCGCCCCCTCCTCCTGTGGTCGTTCCCTCCTCCTCCGCACTCCCGCTGGCGCCGCTGCTGTGCCAGCAGGTGAGTGTGGCGGAGGTGGTGCGAGCAACGGGCGGGTGGGCGGCGGAGAGGCGAATCGGCAGCGGCGGGTTTGGCGACGTTTACCGCGGAGTGAGCCCCCTCGATGGGTGCACGCCCTGGGCTGTCAAGCGCGCCAAAGTCCTCACCAACGACTTCCGACGCGAGGTGAGAATGGGATGGGGCTGACACTGACAGCAGGGGCTGAGCTAGAGTCCGCCCCAATCATGTCTGCCAGGAGGTGAGCCATTCTATACTGTGCATTGCTCCTGTGCTTCCATCCCCCTCCACGCCTCCCCACTCCCACTTTCCCATCCCTCAACCCTCTCCTCCGTCCCACCGCATCACTGCTGCCCTCCCATGGTGTCAGATCAACGAGATGGCATCGAAGCATCATCCGAACCTGGTGCGGCTGCTGGGGTTCTGCATGGACTACGATGCAGCATCGGAGCGCATGGAGCAGATTGCCATCTATGAGTTCATGCCCAATGGGGACCTGTACCAACGCATGCATGCGGAAGCCACAGGTAAGGCAGCAAGCCAGCAGGGGACTTTGTGGTGCCTCAAAAGGGCACAGGTGCGTCAGAGCGACACAGGTGAGAATGGATTGTGTTGCAAAAGTGGGATTGTCTTGCTGCTCCTGCTCCTCTCAGTGGAGGGCCTCCCTGTTTCTTTTTTCTGGTCCAGCTTTCCTTTTCCCCTCACGTGTCGTTCTCGCCTCTGTTTTGTTCCGCAGGTAAAGTTTCACCTCTGACTCTGCAGCAGCGGCTGGACATTCTCATCGGGGCAGCGCGCGGGTTGGAGTATCTCCACAGCTTTGGCATCGTGCATCGCGACATCAAGCCCGCCAACATCCTGCTCGACAAACACATGCAGGTGCCTTCCCTCCCCCAGCAGCTCCCATCTATACGAAGCCAACATGATGGCTGAAGCAAGACGAGCAGTGACTCTGTACCATGCGACTTCGTGCTCCTCTTTGTGACCACCAAGTCACATGGAACAGGGTCACTGTACGTTCTATGGTAAAGCATGTGCTCACTTCCTTTCCCCTCCACCTGCTTCTCTCCCTATGGAGTCTCTTGCCTCTCTTCCTCTTGTCGTTCTGCTGAGCGCGTCTTTGCTCTCCTCGATCCCGCAGGCGAAAGTCTCAGACTTTGGGTTGCTGAGGATGGGCGAGGGCAGCTGTTCAGTGCAGTCCACGCGGGTGATGGGCACACCGGGCTATGTGGACCCTGTCTACTCAATCACTCGCAAGGCCACTCCCAGTGCTGATGTGTACAGGTGGGAAGGCGTGTGCATGCGCACAAGTGCACTTGCTGCCTGGTTATGCTCTTCGTTCCCCATAGTTCTCATCAAAAGCCATTCGTCCAACTTGTTTCCTTTCCAGTCCTGCATACTTCTCTCTGGTCTTGTTATGCGTTTCTTTCTGCTTTCTACACACTCTTTGTCCTCTCCTCGTTCCTCTCTGAGGCGTTCATATCGCCCCCCCCTCCTGCTGCTCGCCCGCACTGCTCTCCCCAGTTTTGGAGTGCTGATGATGGAGCTGCTGGCATGCAAGCACGTGGTGATGCTCTCTGAAGATGGATCACACACCAACATCAAGGAATGGGTATGCTGCTGCTGCTACTTTCTTTCAGCACTGCCCCTCTTTCATTAATTCGTATGTTAGATGCATTAATTCATATCGCAGTTGTAGTTCTCATGCAACTTTCGGAAACTCTTCCACTCTCTTCCTCTCTTCCGTCATCCACTCTTTCCATGACATCCCTCCTCCCCCTGTCCCTGTCCCTCCTTCCCATTCTGACAGGTGGAGCAACAGGTGGAAAGGGGGAGCACTGCGTCTGTTGTGAATGGGGATCTCAAAGCACCACATGCCATGGCCTGCACGCTAGTGGAGATGTCTCTTTCATGTGTTGCAAAGCTCGTGTCTGATCGCCCCAACACGAGCCAGGTGCTAGTTCAGCTTGAGACTCTGCAGAGGGAATTTATGGATCGAAAGCAGGAGAGACTAGCCAAGAAGTTAGATGCAAAGGTAAAACAAGCTTCTCTAGATTGCAGGCCTCTGGAGGAAGAGCTTGAAATCATCAGGAGTAACTATGACAGTGACTAGCTTGAAAATGCCTATTGATGCTGTTACCAATATCCAAAATGAAACATCACTATAGCGAAGTTGAATATGCCTATTCCTCAGGAGGGCCTGGGCTTGCCAAGCTTCTCTCCTTTGGTTGCCTAATATACAATCACTCACCACCGATACTAAGGACGCACCCCACCCTGTGGTCGCCTAGTTCACTTGGAAAATGTGGAATGTATTCTTGTGTGTGTTCTTGTTGATTTTGGCAGTAAGACATCCCCTTGTTAGTATCACAGTTCCTGCTTGTTGTAAATCGAGCACTGTTCACGATGGCGTCACTGCTGACATGTTCAGATGCTGGCCTCCAGTACCTCGTTGCTTCCGTTCCGCTCCGCTCCTGCTCTTCTGACCGTAAAATTCTAGTTGGATTCGTAGTGGCACGTTTTCTGATTTGTTCACATTCACACACCACCAAAGTTGGGTCTCTCGTGCGTGAGTGACTCTCCTCCCTGCTCTTGAGTTTTACGGTCGAGGCGCTTATGACTTGGGAATACATACGGAAAAGGATCCTTCAGCGACAGAAAAACATTTGCTTGTAGCCAAAACGGTTGCAGCAAGCAAGCACACCCAATAACACGACAACAGCTGGCTTTGTCTGTAGACTGAAGGTCGCTACGCCACGTGTACCAGACTGAACTCGTGGGCGTTCCGTAGGCAAACAGCTGGTGTGGTTCGGCCACAACATAGACCTCATCCAATCAGCACCGCTTCACCCTGCTTTCGGTATTGCGCTTTGGGTTCCTCCCCTTCATCGGCTTGCGATAAGAGAGCATCGCACAAATAATTCACGAAACATGTCAGCTGGGAGTAACCCGCCATCAAATATGTTGCGAGACAGTAACTGAGAGCGATGCGATGCGATGCGATGGGTTTTTATTCGCCAAGGTCCCTAGACAAAAATGGTTGGGTTTCATCTTCCTCGCAATTTTCCTGAGACTCACCCCACAAGTGAATGTACCAGCTCGTCACCTGACGCAACCAGAAATGCCGTGACAGCGCTATATCCATCGCACTCGTATCACGCCATTTTCCAAAAACCAAGTCGAGGCGTGAAAGGCGTGCGAAGCATTTGAGCCTTCTTGTCGTCGCCTCGCCTCACTTGGTCCGTTCTGGAGCTTTTCTGTTAGAATCGGCGAACGATTTTACAATCTACGAAACTAACGTTGCCACCTCCCCAGACAATTAGCCCGTATATAATGTGATTAGCTTGAGACGATTAAGCGCATTTGAGCCTATTATTGCAGCCTCAAACGAGTATGCGCCTTGTAGGCGTTGCCCAAGGCACCGACGCTCGTGTTCGAGGGAAGGTCTCTCACGTCTTCCCGTAGCGTCGTAGCCCGCGCTTGTCGAAATTCTCAATTCTTCACCACCCACCCGCTCGCGCCAATCACAGCTCCCCACGTCCACCCACCCACCACCCGTTCATATCCGCCGTCCACAGTCTCCCCTTCACCAGCCACCGCATCAGCCACCGCAACAGCCACCCCATTCGCCACCCCATCCGCCGGCCCATCCGCGGCGCCATGCGGCTAGCGGAGATGCGCGCGGTGTACGCGCAGTTGGCGCCGCTGATGGCGGGCATGATCCTGGTGGCCATGGGGTTGTGCGTCGCGCTCGTCTCCATGCTCGATATCATCGTCGCCGCGCTCTGCCCCACCGACCAGTGCCCCGAGGCGCTCATGCTCTCCGCCGGCCGCGCCACGGTACGGCAGTGAGTGCGCGTCGCTATGCCGATTGATTAGCCCGTTGGTTTTCGGAGTGAGTGAGCGCTGAGGAGCGCTGAGGCTCATGCCGTCCCCTCACACCCTCCGCTCACGGCCCCCCCTCGCGCGCCCGTCCTTTGCGCCCTTCCGTTGCGCCCTTCCCTTGCGCCCTTCGCTCGTGGTCTTCCCTCACGGCGGCGCAGATAGGCGGCATAGCGAACATCATCGTGGCGCCCATATTCGGAGGCCTGTCCGACAAGTACGGCCGCAAGCCCTTCCTGCTGCTCGGCATCGCAGGCATCACCATCCCCTACGGTGGGCCCTCGCTGCGCCGTCCCGTCACCTTGCTTATCAGCTGTTCTTGAAGTGTCCTAATGTCGATTCTTCTGTGCTTTTCGTCATCTCACTTCAGCTTCTCTTCTGCTGCCCCTCCCTGCCGGCCGCCTCTCCTCCTTTGCTTCCTCATAAGCGTCACGGGTCGGCCCTTGGACCATTCCCTTGTACGTCCCGAACAACAAATTCCCGTATCCCGTACAGCCATCCTCGCTACCAGCTCCAGTCGCCTGGCCGTGTACCTATTCTTTGCGGCAGAAACGGCAGGGTCTGCCGTGGGGGGATCTGCATGGCTCAATCTCATCTATGCCTACGTGGTGAGCTGAGCTTGCGGAACGGGGCTTGCCGAATTGGGCTTGCTGGACCCACTTTAATTCCTCTCCTACTGCTTTTCTGCATGCCTCGTATCTTCCGCTCTTCAGAATTTGTTGCTACCTCTCTTTCCCTCTCAGGCTCTCCCCACCCTCTGTCCTGCCTCTTCTCAAACTCCCCTCCCCCTACCCTCTCCTCCTCTCCCCGCCGCACCAGCGCTGCTCACTAAGCACCACTGCCGCCGTGCCGATCTCTCCCTTGGTCATAATCTCTTATTTCTCTTCTTCCTTCTGCCTCCCGCGCACCCTTTCTCTCGCTCCACCGTGCAGGCGGACGTGACAGCGGAGGCCAACAGGGCGGCGGCGTTTGGAGCCATCTCCGGCACCACCGCCTTTGGGTTTCTCGCTGGCCCGCTCGTCGCCCGATTCGTGCCGCCCGCTATCACCTTCCATGTGCGATGCAACCACACACACACACAAGCACGCGCACACACACACTACTGCTGTTGTGGCATAGTCTAGCTATCCCTTGCTCCTATGCTGTTTGTCTCACTCCCCATGCACCCGTGGTGGTGGTGGTGACCTGCCATGCGTGCATGCGTGCAGGTGGCAACGCTGCTGTGCTCGTGTGGGTGGGCGTACATTCTCTTCATGGTGCCCGAGTCCCTGCCCTCGCACCGCCTCCTGCGCAAGGCCGCCTCGCTTGCTGACGAGGAGCACGGCACTGCTGCTGCCGCTGCTGCTGCGGCTGTGGCGGCTGTTGATGGGGTGGGGCCCACAGGGGGGAGTCCAGACGGGGGAGGAGGAGGAGGAGGAGGCAGTGGGGGGAATGTGGGGGAGCGGACGTGGCTGCTGGAAGGGAGTGGAGGTGGAGGGAATGGGGAAAAGGGAGGAGGCAAAGGAGGTGGACGCGAGGGGGGAGAGGTAGGGGGAGGAGGGGGGGGTGCAGGGCGGGGAGGGGCGAGGGGCGTGGGGGGAGGAAAGGTGGCGTTGATGCGCAACAGATCAACTCTGAGAGAAGCCATGCACGTCATGTCCTCCAGGTGCCCCTGCTGCCCTCTCACTCACTGTCTCTCACTGCTGGGTTGGCACTGCTTTGGCGAGAACCTGTTCACCCTTTGTGTCGTGTTGTTCCACCATCTTCTCGAATCCACTCGTCTCCTGCTCTTGCAATCCTCTCATCACCATTCCCCTCCCTTCCCTTCCCTCGCACCTCCCAATGTCCCCCGCCCCTCACGGGAGCCAGTCCGCTCGTGTCCATACTGCTGCTCGTGGCATTCCTGCATGCCTTCGCTGACAACGGCCAAACGTCCAACATGTTTGTGAGTCGCCCTCGCAACGCCCACTTGCAACCTGCAACCACGTGGTGCCTTGTGTCTCAGCAAACACATGGTTGTTTGCCCGGTCGCTCCCAGTACTGGCCCTTTGGTCAGGGCGAAGACTCGCAAGCATATGGTGCACTGCACTGCACTGCACTGCACTGCACTGCACTGCACTGCGAGGCAGATGAAATAGAGCACGCCTAGGAAACTACCTCCAAACTCGTGGCAAAGGCACCATTCAACCGCCATGCTGCCACCACAATAGTTTCTGTTTGTCCTCAACAACTTCTCAGGACTCCTCATGCTCAAGGGAAATAGATGCCACGCTCTCCCTCATCCCTTCTCCTCATGCCTCATCCTTTCTCCTCGTGTCTCTCATCCCATGCCGCAACTCCCCCTTCCGTCCCCCACGGCAGTACGTGTTCAAGGCCAAGTTCCACTGGAACAAGGACGACTTCTCGCTTTACACCGCTGGCATCGGCCTCTTTGCCGTGCTCTCCCAGGTGTGCTGCTGTGAACCACTTTAAAGATTTTTACCAGTTCTCACACGCACAACTAAGGCTCCTCACCAGTTCCCACGCGCACCACTAATGATTTTTAAGCCATTGTTGATCGCACCATACATCCCACTCTCCATGGTGTCACGCCTGCACTGCAACCCATCTATTTGCAACCTCCTCCGCTCCATATTCTCCCTCTCTCCCCTCGTCTCCCCACCCACTGACAGCTCGTGCTGCTGCCCCTGCTGCTCCAGATACTCTCCCTTCACGCCCTCCTCATCCTCGCTATTTCCATCAACAGCTTTCATGTGAGCCATACCCCTGTCATGCTGATCACCCTATTCCATGAGAGCCACGTGGTGTTCCTGTAGATTGACTATACGCGATGAGATACAGTCAGAGTCAGCGTGCGAGTCTGTGATTCATGAATTCAGCATTTCAAAACAGTGCCGAGGTCAGGGACTTGGCGGTGTTCATCTTGACAGCTACCACGCACTCCCTTCCCTTTCATACATGAGGACCCACACACACACATCCATCTCTCTCTCTCTGTCTCTGTCTCTTCCTTCTCCCTGTGCCTGTGCATGTCTGTGTCTCTACGCCCCATGCGAGCAGATGATCTTGTATGGGCTCGCCTGGAAGCCATGGGTATGTTATGCCCCTTCGCGCCCCTCTTGAATGCAATCCACTCCGCACGCACCTCCTCTTCCCATGCAACCTCCCATACCTGCCTGCTGCACTGAATTGTAATGTGGCCTTGGCCCTGTCTGCGGGCCTTGCCCACTAAGTGCGGACACGTGAGAAGCGTCTCGCATTGCACCAAGTCTGACATGTGGCATGGCATGGCACGGCATGGCATGTGTGCAGGTGGTGTACCTCGCGCTATCAATGAGCCTCGTCTCCTCGCTCACTCAAACCTCGGTGCGCCCTCTCCTCTCCTCCTCTCCTCCTCTCCCCCTCTGCTCCTCTCCCTCCACACGCCTCTCCGCGCCTTCCACCTTCACCATTTCTTTCTCTCTTGTTGCCTCCCCATTATGCTTGGGGGAATCACGCATGCGACGTGCATCCAATCATCTGGATGTCCTTTAACACGCCTCCTCTCCCCTCTCTTCATTCCCCCCCGTCGCATGCCTCTCCCCCCCCATGTAGATCGGCAGCATGGTTTCACACCTTGCAGGCCCCAGCGAACAGGTGAGCCAGGGGAAGGGGGCAAACCTGAGACATGTCAGAACTCCAGTAGGTGTGAGTCATGAGGGCCCATCCGTTGAGGATGCATTCTAGTGAAATCAAGCTGCTGAGTGCATGTTCCTGCATGCTCGTGCCTGGGTCCATTTCACCTTCCCCACTTTCGTTCGTCCCTCCGTCCGTTTCTCATCACAGCCATCAATATGACTACCCTGAGCACCACCACTCTTTTGCTCCTCCGCTCACATCCTGCTTGCCCTCCCTGCCTACCTCGCCTCACAGGGCAAGCTGCAAGGGGTGGTGTCGGGCGTGTCATCACTCTCTGCCGTGCTCGCACCTCTCACCATCAACCCCATCACCGGTAACCCTCGCTCCCTCCCTCGCAGCATCCTGGATCCTCTCTCTAGCACATGTTGCTGTCACCAATCCTCTTAGGCAGCGTGGGAGGAACTGGGGCATGGAGCAGAGGCGCAGGGGAGGTGAAGTATGAGTGAGGGTCATGGAGGGGCACGGAGTGAAGTATAGTTGTCTGTGCACACGCCTTGACAGGACCGCTCCGCTTTTGATCCCCCAGCAATGAGTACCCTGTTCACTCCCCCCATCGCCTCTCACTACCACATGTTGCTGACTTACCACCGTTCCACCCGCCTATCCTGCTTCACCTCCTCTCCTCTCCTCTCCTCTCCACTCCTCTCCTCCACCCACCCCCACCAGCGTATTTCATGTCTGACTCAGCGCCCATCCACCAGCCTGGTGCCGGCATCATTGTTGCCGGCATTGTTGAGGTAACAACCACATGCCCCTCCATGCCCACATACCCTCCATGCCCACATGCCCTCCATGCCCACATGCCCTCCATGCCCACATGCCCTCCATGCCCACATGCCCTCCGTGCTCCCATGCCCTCCGTGCTCCCATGCCCTCCGTGCTCCCATGCCTCCTCTCAATGTGTCCCTTCTCGTCATCGCTGTGCACATTACTCCTCCTCACCACCCGTCACACCTTGCATTTCCACCATCACACCTTCCAACCTTCTCCCTTCCCGAGTCTAATTTCTCCCCATCTCCACCTTCTTCCCTCTTCCCCCCCACCCCGTCTGCCCCGTCCCACTCTGTCTCATGTCATCATCCTCACCACCTGGGTAGGCGGTGGCATGTGTGCTTGTGCTGGCACTACCATCAACTGCAGGCAAGGCAGGTGTGAGAGCACTAACCAGCCCTGACTCACCAACTGACTGTCATCCCACTGCCGCTTCACCTGCTGATGCTGCTGCTGCTGATGCTCAAGGTAGCACAGAGGGGGGGGATAAGCATGTCTCCAGTGCTGCAAGTCGAAGTGAGGGCAAGCGTACGGTTACGTTTGAGGACAGCCCTTCTAGCCACAATGGTGGCAGCAGCAGTGCCGGCGGTAGCAGTAGTGGCAGTGGCAGCAGCAGTGGGAGCAGCAGCAGTGGTGGCAGTGGGAACAGCGGCGGCAGTGACAGATCCATAGCAGGCCAAGGTAGACTTGGGAGTAGAGCGGGAAATGGCGAAGACACGTCGCTAACAACTCCTCTCCTGTCTTAGCATCTGACAACCGCCTCCACTTCTCCACCGGTGGAGGTAAATCATGGAATGAGGTGTTTTAGAATATCCTTCATCGCATTGTCTAGGGTGGGCTGGTGGGGGCTCGTGTCTTGAATAAGCCCATGTTCGGGCCTTCTTCACAGCATCCCATTTGTGGGATGTAAATCAATATCATGAGTTAGAATATTATCACAGCATCCGCGCACAGCGAATCTGATCCCCATGTGGGGGAAATTCGAGACATCGATCAGGAGAGCATGATTCGTATACCCTAAATCCTGGGCGTCTTTACTGAATGCCGAAAATGGTCTTAGGTGCCTCTGAAACAAGACCGAGGACGTGAAAATTGCGGTGGCCTGCCGTGGACCGTTAGGCCACGATCGCATGGATGTTCGACACGGATGCATGTGATTGGTCTAAGCTGGGCACGTGGGCTGGGTGCGGCCGGCATCGATATCTGCCACGCTGGACCATTTCGGCTCTTTTGCACAATTTCGGCTCTTCTCGTGGGGACAAGCCTGTGAACATTTTGCGAAGAAGTTACTGAGAATTCCGCGACGAGAATGTTAGGCACTTCAATTTGGCACTCGAAACAACCCGTCATCACTCACCCGCTCTATTATTGCTGCTCCAGCTCGTCAGCAAGCATAGTCGGAGTTATATGACTGTACCATAGCCCATATCACACCATTTAGCATAAGCCAAGTCGAGGCGTGACAGGTGGGAGATGCATTTGGAATCAGCCATTTTGTTGTCATCTCGCCTCACTTGATCCCGTTGGAGCTTCAGAATGCTAGAAGCGACGCAAGGTTTTTTTCTAACATAATACTTAGCATTATCACCTGAGGCGAATAAGCGCAAAGGAGCCTCTTATCGACCAGTCGCTTCTAGACGAATCTGCAGCAGCTTCCGGGAGTGACTTATACCTCTTACCGTTGCCGCGTAACCCGCGGTCGTCGCAAATCTCAACTTTTAACAATCCACCCGCGCTCATCCCTCCACCCACCCACGCACACCGCCCGCGCCAATCGCAACTCCACGTCCCCACCCATCCAAATCTCCCCCGTCGATACTCCCTCACCAGCCGTCCGATACGCCACCCCGTGCGCGGCGCCATGTCACTATCGACGATGCGCGCGGTGTACGCGCAGCTGGCGCCGCTAATGGCGGGCATAATCCTTGTCGCCATGGGGCTGTTTATCGCGATCGTGTCCATGCTAGACGTCATCGTCGCCGCGCTCTGCGCTACCGACCAGTGCCCCGAGGCGCTCATGCTCTCCGCCGGCAGCGCCACGGTACGGGATTGCGCACAGCGATGCCAATTAGGTTATTCGTTGGTTCTCGGAATGAGTGGGCGTTAAGGCCCGTGTCTTCCCTCACGCCCGCCCCTCAAGCCCGCCCCTTACGCGCATCCCCTTTTCGCGCCGCCCCTCCGCGCCCTTCCCACTTCGCGGCCTTTCCTCACGGCCGCCCCTCACGCGCATCCCCTTTTCGCGTTCCCGCTTCGCGCCCGTCCCTCGCGGCATGGTAGATAGGCGGCATAGCAAACATGATCGTGGCGCCCATATTCGGGAATCTTTCCGACAAGCACGGGCGCAAGCCCTTCCTGCTGCTCAGCATCGCAGGCATCACCATCCCCAACGGTAAGCTCTCGCCGCACCTTCTCTGCACCTTCTCTTCACCTTCTCTCACCTCGCGGATTGCCTGTCATCTGTCCTCAGCATCTCCCATTCTGTTGATCCATATGTGCTTTCGCCTGACATTACTTCTACCTTCTCTTCTGCTGCCTCCCCGCTCTCCCTTAGGACTTCCACATAATCGTCACGGTTCGCCCCTTGCCCCTTGACCCATTCCCTTTTCTCTCCCCAACAACAACTTCCCGTCCCGCACCCGTTACAGCCATCCTCGCTACCAGCTCCAGTCGCCTAGCCGTGTACCTGTACTTTGCGGCGAATACGGCAGGGATTGCCCTGGGCAGCTCTGCATGGCTCGATCTTATTTATGTGTATGTGGTGGGTGTGCTGAACCTTGCTGAACCTTGCTGAACCCACTCCAAGTCCCAGACTCCTACGCTGTCTGTCTCTGCATGCCTCCTATCTTCCTCCGTTCAGCTTTCGCTGCTACCAACCTCTCTTTCCCCCTCTCTCCACCTCTCCCCTCTCTCGTTCCCGCCCCTTTTCGAGCTCCCCTTGCTCTGTGCTCCCCCCGCCACACCAGCCCTGCTCTCTTCTCTTCTCACCCCTGCTGCCCTGCAGCTCTCCCTTTTGGTCCGCATTTCTTATCTCTCTTCCCCCTCTCTGCCTCCCTGTCTCCCGCCCCCCCACCGTCTCTCTTTCTCTCGATCCACTGTACACTCTCTATCCAGGCGGATGTGACTGAGGAAACCGACAGGGCGGCGGCGTTTGGAGCCATTTCCGGCACCACCGCCGTTGGCTTCCTCGCTGGCCCGCTTGTCGCCCGATTCGTGCCTCCAGCCATCACTTTCCATGTGCGTCCCGAACCTCCCACGCACACACGCATACACGCACACACGGAACCACACACACGCGCACAAGCACGACTGCCATTGTGGTCTAGTCGAGCAGTCCCATGCTCCTGTGCCTTTCATAAAGGCGCGAAGCGCTGCGAAAATGCTTTCTTTCGTTGATTTTCTAACTGCCATATGCACTTGTGGTGGTAACCCCATGCGTACATGATGTGTGCAGGTGGCGACGCTGCTGTGCTCGTGTGGGTGGGTGTACATTCTCTGCATGGTGCCCGAGTCCCTACCTGACTCTCTACCTGAGTCCCCGTCTGAGTCCCTGCTCTCGCAACCCCTCCTGCGCAAGGCTGCCTCGCTTGCTGATGTGGAGCGTGGTCGTACTCTTGCTGCCGCCGATGCTGCTGTGGTGGCTGTTGATGGGGTGAGGTTTCCACGAGGGGTTTCCGAAGGGGGTGGCGGAGTGAGAAGTGGAAGAAGAGGAGGAAGCAGTCGGGAGAGTACTCTTGCTGCTGTTGCTGCTGCTGTGGCGGCTGTTGATGGGGTGAGGGTTCCAGGAGGGGGTCAAGAAGGGGATTGCGGAGTGAGAAGTGGAGGAGGCAGTCGGGTGAGTACACTTGCTGCCGCTGCTGCTGCTGTTGCGGCTGTTGATGGGGTGGGGATTGCGGGGGAGGGTCAAGAAGGGGGAGGGGGAGTGAGCAGAGGAGGAAGTGGTGGTGGTGGTGGCAGTGGGGGGAGTGTGGGGGAGAGGACTAGGCTGCTGGAAGGGTGTGGAGATGGAGGGAATTGGGAGAAGGGAGGAGGAGAGAAAGGAGGCAGACAGGGAGGAGAGGCAGGAGGAGGAGGCGGGAGTGCAGGTGCAGGGCGGGGAGGGGCGAGGAGCGTGAAGAGAAGCAAGTCGGCGGTGTTGATGCGAAGCAGATCCACACTCAAGGAAGCCGCCATGCACATCAGGTTCTCCAGGTGCCCCCGCTGCCCTCTCACTGCCTCTCACTGCCTCTCACTGCTGGACTGGCACTGTTCACCTTCTGTGTCGTGTTCAACCATTTTTCTCAAATCCACTCGTCACTTCTCTCGCCATCCTCCCAACTCAACGCCATTCCCTTCCCTTCCCCTCTACGCCCCGTTGTCCCATGCCCCACGGGAGCCAGTCGGCTCGTGTGCATGCTGCTGCTCGTGGCCTTCCTGCATGCCTTTGCTGACAACGGCCAAGTGGCCAACATGCTTGTGAGTCGCCCTCCCTTCTTTTGCCCCCCGCAAAGCCATTTTCTCCCCGCAACCCGCACTCTCCACGCCCACTCGCAACGCGCAACCACGTGGCGCCTTCCGGAAAATTCCGAGCAAACACATGGTTGTTTTGTCTGGTCGGTCGCGCTCAAAAGTGGCTCTTTGGTCAGGACAAAGACTCGCAAACATATGGTGCAGTGCACTGCACTGCACTCACTGTTCATGCCTCATCCCATCCCATCCCGCACCTCCCCCCCCCACCCCCCCCCCCCTTCCTCTCCCAACGGCAGTACGTGTTCAAGGCCAAGTTCCACTGGGGCAAAAACGACTTCTCACTATACACCGCTGGCATCGGCCTCTTTGCCGTGCTCTCCCACGTATGCTGCTATGAACCATTTGGGATGCTGCTGCTGCTGCTGCTCTCCCAGAAGAGCAGCAGTGTCGCGCCCAGCTGCGCTCCTGCTTCCCCACCTGAGCTGCTGTGGCTGCTGCTGCTTTCACTCTCCGTCACACATCCCGAACGCTGCATAGTCGCCTGCACTCTCAAACATGCACCAACTTTTTCACGCACCTCTCACGCACACACACACATTCTCAGCCACGCGTGCACTCAATCGCTTGTGGCCGCACCATCCCTCCATCCCACTCTCCACATCATCTGGCAGGCACGGCAACCTACCCATTCTCAACCTTCTCCCCTCCATGTTTTCTTTCTCTCTCTCGTCCCCTCCCCTCCTCTCCTCCCCCGCTGTCAGCTTTTGCTGCTGCCCCTGCTGCTCAAGATGCTCCCCCTTCCCACCCTGCTCATCCTCGCTATTTCCATCAACACCGTCCATGTGAGGCAGAACCCTATCATGCCAATCACCCTATCATGCCAATCACCCTATCATTCCATCTGGAGCCACATAGTATTCCTGTACATTGAATATCAGTCATGTCAATGAAATGGAATCACGTGCATGCATGCATGAGGTGCCGCATCCATTCATATGTCTGCTTGTCTCCGTCTCCGTCCTCATTTCTCCCTGTGCCTGTGCATGTCTGTGTCTGTACGTCACATGCATGCCAGCGGTCCTGTATGGTCTCGCCTGGAAGCCATGGGTATGTCATGTCCTGCCCGCCTATCCCACTCCAATGCACTCCACTCCGCACCCACCCACCAACTCTCCCCATGCAACCTCCCATACCTGCTTGCTGCACTGAGTCTTGCTGCGCCCTTTGCCCTGCTTCCATGCATGGCCCTGTGAGCAAGCGCCACACGTTGCACCCAGCCTGACACGTGGCATGGCATGGCATGGCACGGCATGTGTGCAGGTGGTGTACTTCGCACTATGCATGAGCATCATCTCTGCGCTCACTCAAACCTTGGTATGCCCTCTCCTCACTTTTCCTTTCCTGTCCTCTTCTCCTCTCCTATCATCTCCCGTTCTCTCCTCTCCTCTCCTCTCTTTCACTTTTCCTTTCCTGTCCTCTTCTCCTCTCCTCTCCTTTCCTCTCCTCTCCTTTCCTCTCCTATCATCTCCCGTTCTCTCCTCTCCTCTTGTCTCCTCTCATCTCCTCTCATCTCCTCTCCTCTCCTCTCCTCTCCTCTCCTCTCCTCTCCTCTCCTCTCCTCTCCTCTCCTCTCCTCTCCTCTCCTCTCTCCTCTCCTCTCATCTCCTCTCCTCTCCTCTCCTCCCATCTCATCTCATCTCCTCTCCTCTCCGTTACGCTTCGAAGATTCACGCATACCAATCGCGTCTAACAATCGCATCCCCTCTAACACGCCTCCCCTCCCCTCTGTTAATTCCCCCCCCTCACATGCCTCTCCCCCATGCAGATCAGCACCATGATCTCACACCTTGCAGGCCCCAGGGAACAGGTGAGCCATGCAGGGGATAGACGGGGGGGGGGAAGGATTCTAAGACATGTCAAAACTCACAAAAACTCGCAGAGGCAAATCATGAGGGCTTATTCTGAATATCTATTCCAGTGAAAGCTGCTGTGTGCATGTTCCTGCATGCACATGCCTGCGTCCATTCCCTCCCTTCCGACCCTCCGTCCTTCAGTCATCCCGTCCCTCCCCCTTTTTTCTCATTGCCTGACCATTGGAACCACCACGATGAGCACCACCCCTCCTCACAATCCTCCACCACCTCATTTCTTCCCTCCCTGCGTGCTTCACCACACAGGGCAAGCTGCAAGGGGTTGTGTCAAGCATACATTCTCTCTCTGCTGTGCTCGCTCCTCTCACCATCAACCCAATCACTGGTAACCATGACGCCGTTACCATTAGACCGTTACCATTACGCCGTTACCATTACGCCGTTACCATTACGCCGTTACCATCACGCCGTTACCATTACGCCGTTACCTTTAGACCGTTACCATTAGACCGTTACCATTATGCCGTTACCATTACGCCGTTACCATTAGACCGTTACCATTAGACCGTTACCATTAGACCGTTACCATTACGCCGTTACCATTACGCCGTTACCATTACGCCGTTACCATTAGACCGTTACCATTAGACCGTTACCATTAGACCGTTACCATTACGCCGTTACCATTACGCCGTTACCATTACTCCGTTACCATTACGCCGTTACCATTACGCCGTTACCATTAGACCGTTACCATTAGACCGTTACCATTAGACCGTTACCATTAGGCCGTTACCATTACGCCGTTACCATTACGCCGTTACCATTACGCCGTTACCATTAGACCGTTACCATTAGACCGTTACCATTAGACCGTTACCATTACGCCGTTACCATTACGCCGTTACCATTACGCCGTTACCATTACGCCGTTTCCATTACGCCGTTACCATTACGCCGTTACCATTACGCCGTTACCATTACGCCGTTACCATTAGACCGTTACCATTAGACCGTTACCATTACGCCGTTACCATTACGCCGTTACCATTAGACCGTTACCATTAGACCGTTACCATTAGACCGTTACCATTACGCCGTTACCATTACGCCGTTACCATTACGCCGTTACCATTACGCCGTTACCATTACGCCGTTACCATTACGCCGTTAACATTACGCCGTTACCATTAGACCGTTACCATTAGACCGTTACCATTAGACCGTTACCATTACGCCGTTACCATTACGCCGTTACCATTAGACCGTTACCATTAGACCGTTACCATTAGACCGTTACCATTACGCGTTACCATTACGCCGTTACCATTACGCCGTTACCATTAGACCGTTACCATTAGACCGTTACCATTACGCCGTTACCATTACGCCGTTACCATTACGCCGTTACCATTACGCCGTTACCATTAGACCGTTACCATTAGACCGTTACCATTAGACCGTTACCATTACACCGTTACCATTACGCCGTTACCATTACGCCGTTACCATTACGCCGTTACCATTAGACCGTTACCATTACGCCGTTACCATTACGCCGTTACCATTACGCCGTTGTGTGCTGCTACTCTTCAAGTGTGATGGAGACAGCACGATGGTCCACGTTTGAGTCAACTCAAAATTGCTGCTCCTCCACTTGTGATGGAGACAGCACCATAATCCACGATGCTGCCTTTTCTCTCTAGAACATCGTGCCTTCTCCAGCCGTTGTACGTGTTACTTTGTGGTGGAGGGTTAGGGGGGGAGGAGAAGAAGTTCATTCACCTGAGGTGCAGAGCAGGCGTATGATGGATGGTCAGGGAGGGAGCACGGGATCAGTGCTGAGGTAAGAGTGGTTCTCACTGCACACACCTTGCCTTGCAGGATCGCTCGTGTTTTGAGTCGACACCTTGCCTTGCAGGATGACTCTTCTTCACGACTGTAAGAGTGGTTTCCAGTGTTTACTGTTCTCTCTCTTCTCTTCTCTTCACTTCACTCCCGCAGCTCGTCTGTGAATCCTTCCTCCTGCCCACCCATCCACCGTCCACAATCCCATCCTGCGTCCCCTCCTCCCCTCCACCCGCCCCACCAGCGTATTTCATGTCTGACTCAGCGCCCATCCATCAGCCTGGTGCCGGCATCCTCGTGACAGCCATTGTCGAGGTAACACCACACCCGCATGCTCCCCATGCCCTCCATGCTCCCATGCCCTCCATGCCCCCATGCCCTCCATGCTCCCCTGCTACTACTCTAAATCCATCATCATTGTGTCCATTACCCCTCCTCACCGCTCGTCACACTTTGCATCTGCACCATTCATTAACACCTTTCCAACTCCTATCTTCTCGAGTCAAATCTGTACCCATCCTCACCTTCTCCCCTCTACACCCATCCCATCAACTCCCCCTGCCCATTCCTGCTCTGCCTCATGTGACATGTCATCCACACCACTGGGTAGGCGGTGGCCTGTGTGCTTGTGCTCGCACTGCCGCCTTCTGCTGGCAAGACAGGTGTGAGGGCACTAGACGTCTCTGCCTCACCAACTCGTGCTCGTGCTGAAGCTCGGGGTAACGTGGAGGGGGGTAGGCATGCCTCGAGTGCCGCAGGTCGAAGTAAGGGAAAGCGCACGGTTACTTTTGAAGAGAGCGTTTCTAGCCCTAACAGTGGCAGCAGCAGCAGCACCGGTGGCAGCAGTAGTGGCAGTGGCAGTGGCGGCACCGGCAGTGATGGCAGTGATGGCAGTGGCAGTAGAGAAGGAGATGGTGAAGGCACGCCTCTGAGAACTCCTCTACTCCTCTACTGTCCTAGCTTCCGACAACCACTAGGCGCCGTTTCTCCACTATCATCGACCGACGTGCTTTAGAAGATCCTTCCTCACATTGTCTGGGGTGGGTGGACCGGTGGAAAGCTCTTGCGGTATGCGTTGCATGAGCCGATGTTGGGGCTTTCTTGTCAAACTATTTATATGCGTGCTGGGTTAGAGGCGGCAGTGAGAAATATGCTAGCAGTAGGTGTGTGTATGGTATATGGATGGAAGGAATATGACCACATTGGTCCATGTTTTTATGGATGGAAGGAATATAGATGCATCAAGCAAGCAGCAGTGTGGAAGAGGGGAGGTACTACAGTACGAAGGATGGGAAAACAAATGAGAGAGGAGAGAACTGATAGTGTTCTGCTGCAACAAGCGGTTTTTGAATTTTCCCCAAAGCCCACCTGCCACCATCAAATGAGTATTGTGTAACAATGATCAACCAACACATAAGGAAAACACCTTGAACAATGCACTATCTGGTTGTTTGTGCAGCAAGGAGCAGCATGCGCTGCTGTTCCTCCACCTCACATGCCTCCCACCACCACACATCCCCCCCATACACTCCCATCCTTCCGCATTACACCTCACCCTTCCACCAATTCTCACCTAGCACACGAGAAGCGGCACTTCCCCACCACCGCACTAACCACTAACCACTCAAATCAAATCTTCCACGTTAGCCACTCTCTCACAAGGGCCCGTGCCTCTCATTGACCACTTTACACGTGAGCAGCACCAGCTGGCTGATGGGCAGCCACTGCGTTTTGAGACATCTCAAACCCGTCTTCAAAATATTTGAACGCCTCAAAGCCACGCTCACAGGGGCCCGCGCCTCTCATTGGCCACTTTACACGTGAGCAACACCAACTGGCTGATAGGCAGCCACTGCGGTGCGATCACTCGCCGCTCTGCCGCCACGCCTCCCGACGCCCCTGCTGTGGCGAGAGCACGGTCGAAGTGCACTAGGCTCTGCTCCTCACCCGTCCTCTGCCCCTCTAGGACTCGGTCCACTATGCTCCCCAGCCATGGCTCCTCCTCTACCACCTCCCATAGCCCCTCCAACGCTCCCATGCTGACGCTGTTGCTACTGCTGCTGCTGCTGGTCTCTTCACTACTGCTATCCCCACCGCTTCGGTTGCTGCTACCAGAGGCATCGAACATGGGCTGCTCGGAAGCAGGCGGCATGGCGCCCTCAAACATACCAAGGCCAGGCGCAGCACGGCTCACGTCCATCCCAATGCTACCTCCGCTGCTGCTGCTGCTGCTGCTTCTGCTGGGAGTGCCGTGGCTTTGCTGAGAGGAGGGCATGTGGATGAAGGAGGCGCCAGGCTGCTGCAGGTGAAGGCGGTACATGGTCAGGTACACCTGTGGGGGTGGATAGGAGACAGGAGGAAGGGAGACAGGGGGAGGGTGTGGCGTGAATGGCGAGCAGACAGGTTGGTGGTGGCAAGGCGGATGACAGGGCATGCATGCGTGTGTGAACGCATGTGTGGGTGTGCGTGTGTGTGAGCCCCGGCGTGCGTGTGAGAACGAGCTATTGCAAGAAGGTGGAGCTGGGAAGGCAGAAGAGGGGGCGGGCCGCGGGGGGGAGCAGCAGGGCAGGGCATGGAAGGGCAGGGCAAGGCAAGGCAGGGCAGGAGGGCAGGGCACCGTTTTGATCCACTGTGTGCGGTAGTGCTGCTCGGAGGACGTGAGCCTGTACCCCGCCTCGCTCATCCTGAACTCCTCCTCCTCCGCTCCCCCGTACTGCTCCCACCCATGGGCACGAGGATGGGGTGAGGCGGAAGTGGGGATGGGGGGAGGGGGGAACGGAAGAAGGGAAGCAATGAGTCTCAAGGGTGTAAGCACCAGGAACGGATCCATACCATGAATGCATGTGTGCATGTGTGCATGTGTGAACTGACGACTTGACTGTCCCATTTTCCCCCGTTACCCCTGTTCCCCTCTCCCTTTTCATCACCACTTTCCATGGTGCCCCCCACCTGCAGCTGCAGCAGCAGGTGCTGCAGCGAGTGGCCAGCTGACTTTTGAGTCGACTCAGAAGTCACCTAAAAAGAAAACCCACCTGCAGTTGCAGCAGCAGGCGCTGCAGTGAGTGGCCGGCGAGGAAGGCGTCAGCCGCAGCAGCCGCGAGGTCGTGCAGTGCCATCGCTGCTGGCCGCCCGCTGTTGCTCACACACACCTGCTCGCACCACACACGTGGGGGGCGTGTGGGCAAGGGCGTGCCAGGGAAGGGGGAGTAAGGAAGGGGGAGACAGGAGACGTTGTGAAGGGGGTGTGGGAGAGGGCGCACGAATGCTGGCAGAGGAGGCTGCAGCGTCCATGGGCAGCGCACCTCGAAGAAGCAAGCCTCCACGCTGTTAGCCAGCTCCTCCAACGACCTGTACCCACCACTTCCTGTGCCCCCACCTCCCCCTCCGCCTCGCCCGCCACCCCCCCTGCTAACCGCATCACCCCCTCTTGCCTCGCACCGCACTAGCTCCCCCACTCTTCCGCCACATTTCCCGCTCGGTCTCCCCCAGACCGCGCTTCTTCCGCCTGCTGCTAGGCTTCTCCCCGCGCCGTGTCCTGCAGACCCTCTTTCCCTCCCAACGAACGCCCGCAGTGGCGCGCAGCGGTGATGCGCCAGCTGCGCGCTTGAGTCCAACGCACGGGTTGACCTGCGCCCGGTGGGGAAAGGCCGCGCGTGGCTCCGCGGATACCAGCGCGCGCACGAGGGGCGGAGGGCGGAAGTGCACGCGCGGGCACTGGGCGGCGCGCTAGCCCCTGCGAGTGGCGCTGGCGGCGGCATGCTTGCGCGGTGGGCGCGCGGGGGGCGCGCGGACAACGAGCAGGGCTGCGCTGTGGAAGGGCGTGGCGCTGGGAAGGTGGTAAGAGGGGAATGGTGAGAGCAGTGAATGGTGGTGGCGACGTAATGGCATCGAGATCAGCAGCGACGAGGGTGGAATGGAGGGGATTCAAGAAACGAGAATCTCGCACCGAGATAGAAAGGATGACATGGTTGGCATGTGCTCTAGATATTTCCGGAGGAAAATGTTAGTAACGGGGATCTTTGAGCTGGCACAGCACTTTTCACTGTAATTACACGGATCTCATTCAAAAGCTCTTCCACAAAAGAGGCATTCTAAACAATCAGCCTCTACTTTTTCCCATTCTATTATCTGAGTCACTTTTGTGGATTCTCAAAAGAAATCTGCCTCTCCTTTTCCCACTTCATTATTAGTTTGGTCAGCCATCCTTGCGTTTATGCTGGCATGGCATGCACAGTGACAGGCTCCTCCCTTCATTGGCCCCCCATCCCCTTTCCACGCGTCCTCCTCAGGGTGACAGGAGGACTTAAAGCCAGGGTCTCATGTAAGCTAAGGAGCCATCTAATCGACTGCAAAGCACTTGAAGCTGGGTAACCAAGTTAGTGCTGACGAAGTTGTCTCTGGTTGGGTTGGAAACTCAGCTTGCGTCACTGCCCCAAAAGCAATTGCACAACACTTTTGGGTACTTGAGACTTTCGATGAGTTGGGGGCATTTTAGGTTTGACTCCGGACCAAGTTTCCAAGCCTACATGGTTCGGTTACCCCCAGCGATTTACGATCGCTTCGCACCCCTCGCTTCACCCCACTTCGAACCTTACACCTCGCCAACCAATCAAAGCCACACTTTCACCATCAAGTGCAAAGCACTTGTAGTACGTGAGACCCTGGCTTTAACATGACACGCACACAAGACACAGCGTCCTGCCACCATAACTCCACATATCCCGCCATGCAATTGAAACGCCTCCAATCTGTGTGTAAGGCACCTCAAATTCGGCACAAATGCCTTCAACTTCCATTAAAGCCCAAGACCTGAATTACAAAAAAAGGAAGGCAAACTGTGCACAGTTTGCCTTCCGAGCCCACAGTTGACTTCCCGAGCCTCTCTGGTTACCAAATGACGCCCCGCAAAACTGCAGAGAGTCGTAAGCCCAAAATTGGTTGGCGAGAGTCCCAACCGCTCCCTCCTGAAGGGAGTAGGGCAAGGCAAGCTGTGTACAGATTGGAAATTGTTGTAATTCAGGTCATGCTCGACCACATAGTAGTCACGTGAAACTCCTAGGTAGAGCAGAAAGCCAATAGAGCTGGAGCCCAATCCACCGGAAAAAAAAAAAAAACACCAAACAGATTCTATGCGATGGCGCCGCTTTTTACTCAGCGTCGTCGTCGAAACCCTGCGCGACCGCGCAAACGACAGTTTGCGGCGCATGCATCTCCTCTCCGAGCTCGATAATAGGTAATCAAACGGTCGATCGCGGTCATTTCCCGCGCATTCGCCCTATGTTTGCCTCAGCTACATTCCCCTCCCGCGCTTCCTAGTCGACGTCACACCCTGCCACCCACGCTTTCCCTCGTCGCCGTCGCCGTCCCCTACGCTTCCCCCCACCATCGCCCTCGCTTCCTCCCGCTGTCGCTCACACTTTACTCCGTCGTTGACCACGCTCCCCCTCCCGTCGCTTTCGCTTCCTCCCACCGTCGCCCTCGCTTCCTCCCACCGTCGCCCTTGCTTCCTCCCACCGTCGCCTTCGCTTCCTCTAACCGTCGCTTTCGCTTCCTCCCACCGTCGCCCTCGCTTCCTCCCACCGTCGCCCTCGCTTCCTCCCACCGTCGCCCTCGCTTCCTACCACCGTCGCCCTCGCTTCCTCCCACCGTCGCCCTCGCTTCCTCCCACCGTCGCCCTCGCTTCCTCCCACCGTCGCCCTCGCTTCCTCCCACCGTCGCCCTCGCTTCCTCCCACCGTCGCCCTCGCTTCCTCCCACCGTCGCCCTCGCTTCCTCCCACCGTCGCCCTCGCTTCCTCCCACCGTCGCCCTCGCTTCCTCCCACCCTCCCCTAAAACTCCGCCGTCGTCATCACTTCCCTGCCTATCACGTTCACCCTCTTCGTCACACGTCGCCTCTCTCTCTCCCCCTATTCTACCTTCACCACTCCTACCGTCGTCCATAGTTACCACCCCACACTTGAACCCTTCTCATTCTCTCACATTCTCCCTTCTCCCTTGCTTCTCGCCCACACTAAACGCAGAGATGTATGGCGCCTGGGCGCTGGGTATGGGGTCGTGAATTGTTCGCTGTGGGGTGTGTGAGGGTGCGTGGTACGAAGGCTAGGGGAGAATGAAAGCTGATGGGGTGTGAGTCGAGGAGCACGCACCCTGCCCCTCACGCTGTGTCACTCACAACCCAATGGCAGCACAACAAGCTTAGCAACCTCCTCCTCACCCTCGCACCAACCCCGCACACAGCCGGGGAAGCTCGTGCAGGCGGGCAGTGAGGAGCGCTGTGCACAAGGGGCGAGGGGGTGGGGCAAGGGAGCGGGGGAGGCGTGGCAGGGGAGTGAGGGAGGGGGGAGTGGGGGAGGCGGGGCAGGGGAGTTGGGGAGGGGGGCAGGGGAGTGGGGGAGGGGGGGCTGGAAGCCGTCCCGTCTTCCTCCTCTTCCTCTTATTTGCCCTCCCTTTCCTCCCTCCTCTTCCCTCCCCCCTCCCTTCCTCCTGTCCTCCCTTCCTCCCTTCCTTTCTTCCTCTCTTCCACCCTCTGCCCTACTCTCTGCTTCAGTGTCTTTCTCCCCTCTCTTTCCCCTTTCCTCCCTCCCTTCATCTCATCCTCTCTTCCGCCCTTCCTCCTTGTCTCCCTTGCTCATTTCTCCCTCCTCATATTCCCTGTTCCCTGCGTCCCTCGCTGCCATCCTCCCTTCCTCTCAGCCTCCTCACTTCCTCTCGTCAACCATTCCTCCGCACCCTTCTACCCTGCCACGCCTATACACTCCTACCTTGTTCTAGGGGCTTGTTTCTTGTTGCCTGCCTGCCCTTGCATTGTCATTGTTTTGTATCCTTCCCCGCTGCTTCGACTCTTGGCACATTAGATTTTGTGGTTCGTGTTTGTGCAGGTCTGCCATGTATCTAGCTGTGATGCCTTCACTCTTTGATGATAGTGGTATGACAAATAGCCATGCCATGTATGTTGGATGCTTCTCATGATACAACACTTTGGGCCTCGGAGCAGCCATGTACGTGAGCACGACCATGAAATGCAACAACGCAAGAGATTTTCTTCCTTACAGTTGTCGCCAGTGGACTACAGGCACAATGCACAAATCTGGAAGGTGGTAACTTTCCATCCCACTCCTGTTGGGACCCATGGTGCTGGGCACCTGTACAAGCATGGTTCTGTGATAGAACGGGGAGGGAAGAGTGGGTATGGCGAATAAGCAAGGGCTGGAGGTTGGAGGTACAGAAGGGCATGTATAGCTGTGGAGCGAAAGGCAGTGCGGATGGTGGTGGTGCTGCTGCTGCTCGGGCTGTTGCTGTTGCTCTAGGAGTTACAACTGCTGCTACTTCTGCTGCGCCAGCTGCGCGCCTTTCTCCCTCCCCCTCCTCCTCCTCCTCCTGCTGCCGTGTCAAGAGCGGCTCCCTCAGCACGTCCCCAGCACCGCCAGCACTCGCAGATGCGGGCACATGGGGTCCCTTGCGCGCCGAGTCAGAGGAGGCACCTTGCGCAGAGGGGCGTCGCGAGGAGCAGCGCTGTGACGCTGGTGCCAGGGAGGCTGCCAGACCCACCGGGCTGCGCAGGGCGGACGCACCAGCAGCAGCACTGCCTCCGGCACCTGTGCCTGCAGCTGGAGAAACGGGAGCAGCGGCGGCAGCAGGAGCAGCAGGCGCAGCAGTGAGAGTGAGTGCAGGAGGCGGGGGCGAGGCGCCAATGGTGAAGGCAGGAGAGGGCGGGGAGAAGGTGGATTGAGAGAACACCAGCCTGGCCCTTGCAGGCGCCAGCGCGACCGCCGAGTCAGAGGAGGGGGGGATAGAGCCGGGCGGAGGGATACCCTCCCGTGCTGCTGGAAATCCCCCCCTGCTGCTGACCGCCCATGGGGCTGCTGCTGCCCCCCATGCCTTGCACTGCAAGGAACGCACCCGACGACGCACCACCGGCGCCCATGCTGCTGCTCCCCTCCGTCGCCCAGTACGCTCCCGAGGCACCCTCCATCGCACCACCGCCACCCGTGCCCATGCCCACGAGCAAGGGCATGGCTAGCGCGCCTCCCACTCCCCCTCCCCCTCCCCCTCCGCCTCCTCCTCCGCCTCTCAGCGAGGGAGCTGACGCGGCTGATGTCTGACAGCAGAGAGTCGTAGCTCTCACTCCGCTCCAACACTCCCCGGCCCCCCCCCGCGTGCCCTCCCTCTCCCCCTCCCTCCCCCGCCTGTCCCCCCCCAGACGCGCCTCGTCCTCGGGGAAGCTGCCCAGCATCACTGCCCGCTCCTCCCTCCCCAAGCTCCGTGCGGGGGAAGCGAAGGCTCCGCGTGGGGAAGCGAAGGCTCCGCGCGGGGGAAGCGAAGGCTCCGTGCGGGGGAAGCGAAGGCTCCGCGCAGGGGAAGCGAAGGCTCCGCGCGGGGGAAGCGAAGGCTCCGCGCGGGGGAAGCGAAGGCGACGCGCGGGGAAATCGAAGGCGACGGGGGGGAGAAGCGAAGGCGACGGGCGGGATAAGAGAAGGCAACGGTCATCCGAAAGCGAAGGCGGCGACGGGCGGGGGAAGCGAAGGCGACGGGATGGGGCCGCGAATGCGATGGGCTGCGGAAGCGAAGGCGACGACGCGGGCGATGGACAGAGGAAGCGTGGGACCCGGGTGAAGGAAAGCGAGGGCGAGGGATGGTTACGCTTGGCCGAACGTGAGGGTTATGCGAAACCTGCATTTTTACACCATATCTCATCGCACGCCGCTCAATATCCTTACGCTTCGAACTCACATTCCGCACCACACACCATCGCATCGCGCCTTGATCGCTCTAGAGTCAACGGCTACGCCCTGCATACACGTATTCTATATTATGCCTAGTTTTAGTCTGCTGCTAGGATTGTCAAAATGTGCACAGTTTGGTAGGCACGCTCAACTCTGGTTGTGGGAAGCACGCCATTCATCACAGGTTTTCTTCCAAGCGACACAACTTTGTTGCAAACTGGTTTCGCGAGTGAAAGGGTTTCGCAGCCAAACCGAACCTCTTCCGAACCTAGTTTTTTGGCGTTGACTTCCGTTGAGTAATTCAGGTCTTGGGCTTTAAATCCCACAACCACCCTCTCACCCCCCACCTCCCCTCTTCCTCCCCCCCCCCCCTCCTTTCCCCCTCCCCTCCCCCCTCCCCCTTCCCCTTTCGGCGACTTCCCTTCCATGCCACCTCGCTCCTGAGTCCTCACACGGTCTCCGCCTCCTCGCGCCTCACCCCGCCCGACAGCCTTCTCCCAGTGGCGGAGCTGGCACTCGACTCAATCCCCGCGATCATCTGCAGCTCCTCCCTCAGGTCCCGGTGCGTCAACCTTAGCGACTGCATCTGCTCGTCCACCCTTTGCGCCATGCGCCCACTCTCCAGCCCAAAAAACTCCTTCTTCAGAGTCTCCAGCTCCGTCGCCGCTTCGCCCATGGTGGGCCGCGCCGCGGTGAGCGCAGCCGTGCAGCGCAGAGCGAGACGTGCCGTGCGGAGCACGAGGGAGTCGGGGGCGCGCATGAAGGGGTCGCCTATGGCGCTGATGTCCCCCGTTGCTATGCGCTGCTCCACCCACTCCTTGATGTTCATGGGGGCGCCCCCGTCCAGGATGAACACCACCCTGTGGCCTGTCAGCAGCTCCAGCATCACTATGCCGAAACTGCACCCACGTGTGGCACGTGCCATGGCAGGAGGAGGTGTGGGTGTGGGGGTGGGTTGGGGGGGAAAGCGGGAGAGGTATGAGAAGAAGGAGGGGGGTAGACAACACCACCCTGTGGCCCGTCAGCAGCTCCAGCATCACTATGCCGAAACTGCACCCACATGCTACCATGGAAGCATCAGCAGGAAGAGGGTGGGAAGGGGGAGGAGGGGGGCGGTTGGGGAGGAGTTGGGACGGATTCAGGAAAGGAAGAAAGAAGCAGAAAGCAGGAATACAGGGTAGCACAAGCACGTGTACAGAGAAACAGCATGGACAGGGTAGAGTAGAGGTGCTGGTGAGGGTGGGAGGGAGGTGCACCTGTACACATCAATAGTGGGCGTGGCCTTGTGTGTGAGCGAGTATGCAGGGTCCACATAGCCCGGCGTGCCCATCACCCGCGTGGACTGGCACGTCGTTCCCTCCACCATCCTCACCAACCCGAAATCTGACAGCTTCGCCTGAGGAAAGGCGAGGGCGTGTGCCACGCGTGAGAGTGAGGGAGCGAGTGAGTGAGCAAGTCAGGGAGCGAGTGAGTGAGACCAAAGAGAGGGAACGAGACGAGAATGAGAGATTTCTCTTTGCACACGTGTGTGCAGAGAGAGTGTGGAGGGTTGCGGCTTGGGAAAGGGTGGGGGGGGGGGGGGGCTAGAGGGGAGTGGGAGGTTGCAAGGTGTGCTTCACCTTCATGTTATGATCCAGCAGGATGTTGGCGGGCTTGATGTCGCGATGCACGATGCCAAAGCTGTGCAGATACTCCAACCCGCGTGCCACCCCTATCAGAATGTCCAGCCGTTGCCTCAACGACAGCGGCTCTGGGGACGTGCCTGGACGGGATGGTGCCACGCAGGCGAGCAGCAGGGCGGGAGGGGGGAAGGGGGAACGTGGGAGGGTGGGAACTTGGGACCGGAATGCTTTGGCACACTGTCAGTGGGACTGGTTTTCCTAAAAAATGTATTAAACAAGATGGATGTTGGAAGCGAGGCGGGCAGGAAAGGAGGCGGCATGTGGCAGTGTCACCTGGGTGCAGGCGCTTCTCAAGGTCCCCATTGGGCATGAACTCATAGATGGCGATCTGCTCCATGTTCTCCGATGCTGTGTCCCCGTCAATGCAGAACCCCAGCAGCCGCACCAGGTTCGGGTGGTGCTTCGATGCCATCTCGTTGATCTGATGCCTCAGATGAGAGAGGGGTAGAGACAGTGGTGGGAGGGAGCATGAGGAGGGGACAGGCAGGGGGGAGTAGGGAGGCATGTAAGGGGGGTGGAAGCACAGGGGCCATGCGCACCTCGCAGCCGTGAGCACTGTACTTGAGCCTCTGCTTTCATCCCCATCCCATTCACACCAACCACATCCCATCCCATTCCTCTCACTCACCTCACGTCGAAAGTCGTTGGTGAGGACTTTGGCGCGCTTGACAGCCCAGGGCGTGCACCCATCGAGGGGGCTCACTCCTCGGTAAACGTCGCCAAACCCGCCGCTGCCGATTCGCCTCTCCGCCGCCCACCCGCCCGTCGCCCGCACCACCTCCGCCACACTCACCTGCTGGCACAGCAGCGGGCCCCTCCGCTCCGCTGCTGCCACATCTGGGCAACCAGAGTGGAGCACACAGTGATTGGTGGGTGATATTGCACATTACTTTAAATTTAATTAAATATATATGTACACACATATATATATATATATATATATCTGTATTTTACCTCAAGTAAAATGCCATGGACAGCTTTGCATCAATACCTTTGAAAGTCGGCAAATAGGGTGAATTAGGGCTTCATCATGTGAGCGCAACACAGGGTGGGCAGGCAACGAGAGAAAGAGATAACACAGTGTAACAAGGAGAGAGGGAGGCCAGAGAGGAGGGACGCAAGGTGACCAGAAGGTCTGTGGTGTGGGGTGTGTGTGGGACGTGGTGGAGTGATCGTACTTGAGTTTGTTCTTGCAATGGTGGAGGTTGTCGTTGGACCTGGTTGGGTGATGGCAGGCCATTGGGACGGGACACACCCAGCAGAGGGAGGAAGAGAAAAGAAAGGGGGGAGGCGTGGGGGAAAGGGGTGAAAGCAGAAGAAGGTAAGCAAGTGGTCATGGAAACACAAGGGGACGCATCGCATGGTGGAAAGAAGATGCCTTTAAGACGCGCTGTTGCACTGGCACAGAAAAGAGGAGACAGAAAATGCATCATTGTTAGGGACGCATCAGTGGACCAGGAAAGGCAGCCCCTCTGGGGGAGAGGGAGCGTCAAGCAAGCATGTACACTAGCAACCGCACCGCATCACGCCGAACCGCACACACACCACCACAACACACACACACGCACACCTGACACGGCTTCCCCGGAGCTCAGCTCCCCACTGGCCCCATCCCCGGCGCGGGCAGCATCAGGCGAGCAGTGGACAAGATCAGGCCACTGCGAGGCAATGAAGAGCTTCACAGCTTCCAAGTCATGGATGACGCGTGCCATGGAGGGGCGGCTGTCGGGGGGCATGGCGAGGCAGGGCAGAGCGAGGTCTGCCATGCGCACCACCACGCTGTCCGGCGCCTTGAGATGCGGATCGCCGATCAGCGCCACGTTGCGGTCGTATAAACACTGCACCACCTGGATTTTGGACGGTGGCGGGGGAAGGGAGAAGGCAGGAAGGGGGAGGGGAGGTGCTGGGGGTGAAGGGAGGGCAGGGCGAGGTCCGCCATGCGCACCACCACGCTGTCCGGCGCCTTGAGATGCGGATCGCCGATCAGCGCCACGTTGCGGTCGTATAAACACTGCACCACCTGGATTTTGGACGGTGGCGGGGGAAGGGAGAAGGCAGGAAGGGGGAGGGGAGGTGCTGGGGGTGAAGGGAGGGCAGGGCGAGGTCCGCCATGCGCACCACCACGCTGTCCGGCGCCTTCAGATGCGGGTCGCCGATCAGCGCCACGTTGCGGTCGTACAAGCACTGCACCACCTGCCAGGGGGACAGCGGAGGGCGGGCGGGAAGGTGGGAAGGGGAGAGAGAAAAGGAGGGGGAGATGCTTTATAGAGGAAGGACAAGGGGGTGTTGGGGGTGAAAGGGGAGGGCGGGGGGAAGAAAAGGAGGGGAGGAAATCTATCCAGGGTGCACGGTTCTACGTAGTGGTTTCGGCGGGATTTGGAAGCAATCGCCCTTCGTTGAAACCAGTGTGACATCACATGCCATCATGGCAACATCATGGGCGCACAGCACACTACATGACGCCAGTCGCTCTAACAACATCCCAACCCTCTCCTCCAGAGCTCCCTCACTGCCATCGTGATGTTCCCCCAGCTATCAGGAATCAAGGGCAGATTCTGTCTGATTCATCAGTCTATCTGAATTTCACCCTTCCTGCTCCCACCCAGCTATGCAGTAGCATGAGCACGGTGGGTGCGTGCTCAGCTCACCCATCCCTTGAAGTTGCTGTCTGCGTTGCCGTCCCACTCCACTGCCTTGCGCCCTGTCAGCATCTCCAGCATCACCACTCCGAAACTGCCACCATCCATGCATCACATCATACACAGGGGCAAATGTCAGAAGATGGGGGAGGTGGGGGCTGAGGAACTCGAGGGAACCAGGCGGCAACAGCTGCTGGCAGTCGCATGTCTATTCATCACCACTGCCTTGTGACCTTAATCGATCTGTAACGGACACCTTGTTTTGCCACAAACGCCCACAATGCACACACGTCAAATGCACTCACCCAGCCCCCACCACACCACACACAGGACACCACACCACACCAGAACAAACACCGCCGCACTCCACCGCACAGCACCCACCTGTACACGTCGGCACTGGGGCGAGCGTTCCTGTTGGCACGGGAAGCGTGGTCGATGTACCCATGCGTGCCCATGGACTGCACCATGTGCTCGTCATACCCCATGCGCACCGCTCCAAACGCTGATATCTTCGCCTGCCAGGCGAGGGAGTGGGGGGAGAGGGAGGGGAAGCAGGGTCGATGTACCCATGCGTGCCCATGGACTGCACCATGTGCTCGTCATACCCCATGCGCACCGCTCCAAACGCTGATATCTTCGCCTGCCAGGCGAGGGAGTGGGGGGAGAGGGAGGGGAAGCAGGGTCGATGTACCCATGCGTGCCCATGGACTGCACCATGTGCTCGTCATACCCCATGCGCACCGCTCCAAACGCTGATATCTTCGCCTGCCAGGCGAGGGAGTGGGGGGAGAGGGAGGGGAAGCAGGGTCGATGTACCCATGCGTGCCCATGGACTGCACCATGTGCTCGTCATACCCCATGCGCACCGCTCCAAACGCTGATATCTTCGCCTGCCAGGCGAGGGAGTGGGGGGAGAGGGAGGGGAAGCAGGGTCGATGTACCCATGCGTGCCCATGGACTGCACCATGTGCTCGTCATACCCCATGCGCACCGCTCCAAACGCTGATATCTTCGCCTGCCAGGCGAGGGAGTGGGGGGAGAGGGAGGGGAAGCAGGGTCGATGTACCCATGCGTGCCCATGGACTGCACCATGTGCTCGTCATACCCCATGCGCACCGCTCCAAACGCTGATATCTTCGCCTGCCAGGCGAGGGAGTGGGGGGAGAGGGAGGGGAAGCAGGGTCGATGTACCCATGCGTGCCCATGGACTGCACCATGTGCTCGTCATACCCCATGCGCACCGCTCCAAACGCTGATATCTTCGCCTGCCAGGCGAGGGAGTGGGGGGAGAGGGAGGGGAAGCAGGGTCGATGTACCCATGCGTGCCCATGGACTGCACCATGTGCTCGTCATACCCCATGCGCACCACTCCAAACGCTGATATCTTCGCCTGCCAGGCGAGGGAGTGGGGGGAGAGGGAGGGGAAGCAGGGTCGATGTACCCATGCGTGCCCATGGACTGCACCATGTGCTCGTCATACCCCATGCGCACCGCTCCAAACGCTGATATCTTCGCCTGCCAGGCGAGGGAGTGGGGGGAGAGGGAGGGGAAGCAGGGTCGATGTACCCATGCGTGCCCATGGACTGCACCATGTGCTCGTCATACCCCATGCGCACCGCTCCAAACGCTGATATCTTCGCCTGCCAGGCGAGGGAGTGGGGGGAGAGGGAGGGGAAGCAGGGTCGATGTACCCATGCGTGCCCATGGACTGCACCATGTGCTCGTCATACCCCATGCGCACCGCTCCAAACGCTGATATCTTCGCCTGCCAGGCGAGGGAGTGGGGGGAGAGGGAGGGGAAGCGGGGTCGATGTACCCATGCGTGCCCATGGACTGCACCATGTGCTCGTCATACCCCATGCGCACCGCTCCAAACGCTGATATCTTCGCCTGCCAGGCGAGGGAGTGGGGGGAGAGGGAGGGGAAGCAGGGTCGATGTACCCATGCGTGCCCATGGACTGCACCATGTGCTCGTCATACCCCATGCGCACCGCTCCAAACGCTGATATCTTCGCCTGCTAGCGACGGGCGGAGGGGAAGGGGAAGCGCGATGGGGGGAATGGGAAGGAGGAGAGCGAGGGAGAGGGAGAAGGGAGGGAGAGGCGGGCGTGGCAGGAAAGTAGGCAGGGTTGGGATGTTTCGTATGGCATTCCCTTCCCACCCACCGCTGCAAAGGCAGTCATACTGCCCCACGGACATGAGAGAAGGCCGACGGAGGATAGGAGGAACGCAACGATGGAGTCTAAGAGACTGGAGCGGGGAGAGAGGGCAGAAGAGGCTGATGTTGTGATCTGATGTGCGGGGCGGGGGGTGGGATGGGAGCAGGGGAGGATGGAGAAAAGAAGAGGCAGAGGAACTCACCTGCATGTTGGCATCGAGCAGGATGTTGGCGGGCTTGATGTCGCGGTGCACGATGCCTAAGCTGTGCAGATACTCCAACCCGCGCGCCACCCCTATCAGAATGTCCAGCCGCTGCTGCAGAGTCAGAGGGTCACGCGAATCTGTGTGGGCAGGAGGGGGGTGGAGGAAGAAAAGGGAGTGGGTGAGTGCGAAAGGAATTCAGACAGCATGCGCTCAGCGACAGTAACAGCGAGTGCAGCAGCGGGAGTGAGAGGGAAAGGGAAAGGAAGAGAAACGGGGAGGAAGGAGGGGGGAAGCAGAGAGAGAGAAGAGAGCCGGGGGGAGGGGGGGGAGGAGGGAGGGGGTTAGCGGGGTACCGGGAATGGGGTGGGGGGGAGGGAAAGTTGCACGCAGCAAGATGAATCCGTGCATGTGTGTGTGTGTGTGTGTGCGGTTGTGCGGTGTGCAGTGACCTCGGCTGAAGCGGCCGTGGATGCTGCCGCCTGGCATGAGGTCGCAGATGACGATCTGCTCGTGCCTCCCCTCGCCCTCGTTGAAGTCGTTGCAGCACCCTATCAGCCGCACCAGGTTCGGGTGGACCTTGTTCGACATCTCCCGCACCTGCTCCCCCATGGCGTTGCATGCCACGGGATAGTCGCATGGGATGGGATGGGAGGGGATGGGATGGGATGGGATGGGATGGGATGGGATGGGATGGGATGGGATGGGATGGCATGGGATGGCATGGCATGGGGATGAGATAGAGCGGGCGAGCAGGGCACAAGGAGGGGTTAGGAGGTGGTAAAGCCAGAAGGATATCCGGTGAGACTCGCATGTGGCAGAACACTTTCCTCAATCACACACCTCTCCCAACCCCTCCCTCGCTCTCACACCATCCCAAGATTGAGCATGTCCCAATCCAAAACTAGACCACACCGCCCTCCACCCCTCCCCTTCCCCCCTGTTTACTCTCCCCTTCCCCCATTCCCCCTTCCCCCTCCCCTCCCCCCGTCCCCTCTTCTTTCCCCCAGCGCACCACTCTGCCGAAGTGTTCAGTGGGCACGGTGCAGCGCTTGACGGCCCAGAGCGAGTCGGGGTTGAAGGGCGAGGTGCCGCGGTACACGTGTGCGAACCCGCCCGTGCCGATCTTGTTCTCCTCCGCAAAGTAGTCCGTTGCTCGCGACACCTCGTCCAGACTATACTGCTGGCACGACCCTGGAGGGCACGTGGGGAGAGAGGGTGTGGGATAAGGGGGAGGGGAGAGAGAGAGGAAGGGTGTTAAAATATATGTTGTGTAGCATGCCAACACATGTGACTGTACACCAATTGTGGTGTACAGTTGGGTTGGGACTACACCCAACTTTGGGTGTAGTCTTGCACTTTGGGGTGCCAATCCACCCAATTGTGGTGGAGCCCCCAAATGCAACCCACTTGGCTTATGGGTGCCTCACTTCCCACAAGTGAGGTCATCTCAAGCCAAGTGGGCCTAGGGTTGCCTCACTTCTACAAGTGAGGTCAACCCAACCTATGGTCACCTTCACCCTTCTCTTCCAAGCCTCTCTTCCAACTATGTATGCTAGGTTTCTCCTCTAATGAAGTTACTTGTTCAATTTGCTACTTTCACATGGTATAGAGCTACTTGTTCCTAGGCCTTACCTCTCCCTCCCTTCAGTTTTTTTTTTCCCCATGGGCCCACCCCACAGCTACAAACCCTTTCCTACGCGTGGCTCAACTAGCCATCACTAGCATACTCTCGCCGCGACCTACGCCGTCGCCGCCGTTCCCCCCCCCCCTCCCGCCGCGATTACGCCTTCCTCGCCTGCGGATACCACCGCCGCGAACGCAACGCCGCTGTCCCCTCCTCCCCCCCGCCGCGACCCCCTGTCGCCGCCTCCCCCTCTCGCCGCCGCGCCTGATTCGGCGCCGCCTGCGCATCCCGCCGCCGCGACGCCTCGTCGCTGCCTGCCCGTCCCTCCGCCGCGACGTCACGTCGCCGCGTTCCCGCCGCCGCGCCTGCTACGGCGCCGCCTGCGCATCCTGCCGCCGCGACGCCTCGTCGCCGCCTGCCCGTCCCTCCGCCGCGACGTCTCGTCGTCGCGTTCCCGCCGCCGCGCCTGCTTCAGCGCCGCCTGCGCATCCTGCCGCCGCGACGCCTCGTCGCCGCCTGCCCGTCCCTCGGCCGCGACGTCACGTCGCCGCCGCGCCTGCTTCGGCGCCGTCTGCCCGTCCCGCCGCCGCGACAGCTCGTCGCCCCCTGCCCGTCCCGCTGCCGCGACCTAACATCGCCGCCTGCGCATTCCGCCACCGCGACAGCTCGTCGCCCCCCTGCCCGTCCCGCAGCCGCGACCTAACATCGCCGCCTGCGCATTCCGCCGCCGCGACTGCTCGTCGTCACCTTCCCGCGCCCCCCCCCCCCCCCCCCCCCCCCGCCGCGATTTCGCATTTCCGCCTCCCCTCCCACCGCCGCACCTGCTTCTGCGTCACCCACGCATTTCGCTGCCCCTTCTGCATCGCCACCCGCCCGCAATTTCCCCCGCCGCAACTGCAACATCGTCGCCCCGCGGTTCCCGTTAACGCGACTGCGCCGCCGCCGCCCTGCCGCCGCCACTGATTCGGCGCCGCCTGCCCATCCTCCACCGCGACCGCGCCATCCCCGCCCACACTTCCTGCCGCCGTGACTGCCCCGTCGCCGCCTGCAGATTCAGCCGCAACTGCACCCTCCCTTCCTCCTCTCCCTACTCCTCTCCCCCCCCCCTCCCCCTCCCCCTGCGCCCCTCGTTGCCGCGGCCTGCCTGCCGCCGCCGTCCCTCGTTTCGCCGCCGCAGCCATTTCCCCGCCGCCTTCACCTTTCCGCCGCCGCAACCTGCTTGCAGCCGCCGCTCTCAACATCGCCGCCGCGGCCCTTCCGCTGTCGCCTGCGCCCTTCGTCGTCGCGGCCTGCTTGCCGCCTCCGCCCCCGACTTTGCCACCGCCTCCCCTTCCCGCCGCCGCACGTTCGCACAGCCGCCTGCGCCCTTGTCACCGTCGCTCCCTGCACCTTGAACGCCTCTGCCCTCCACCGCTGTCTCCCTCCTTTACCCCCCCCCTCCCTCCTCCTGCCAGCGGCAGCAGCAGCGGCAGCAGGGGAAGTGCAGCAGCCTCAGCAGCAGCAACTTCACCCTTGGCCGCCGCGGGTCCACCCGCCGTCACCCATCATGACAGCTACCCCCCCTGCCCCTCTCCCCCCTCCTCACTGGAGCAGTGTTGCTCCTCGCCCCTCCCTTCTCAACACTCCGACCCTCCACTCCTCCCCCCCCCCTTATCTCCGCCTGCTCACCTCCTCCTCCCCCCCTCCCCATCTGCGGCGTTTCCAGCAGCTCCAGCATCAGCAGCAGCAGCACCTCCAGCAGTGGCAGCAACCACAATTTCTCCAGCCGCACCCCCCACATCTCCTCCAGCCGCGGCAATCGCAGCAGCAGCAGTTCTTCCTACACCAACAGCAGCCGCAATCTCTCCAGCCTCACCCGCCACAGTTTCTCCATCCCCAGCAGCAGCAGTCCTTCCAGCCGCAGCAGCAGCAGTCCTTCCAGCCGCAGCAGCAGCAGTCCTTCCAGCCGCAGCAGCAGCAGTCCTTCCAGCAGCAGCAGCTGCCACAGTTCCTCCCGCCGCAGCAGCAGCAGTCCTTCCTGCAGCAGCAGCAGCCACAGTTTCCCCAGCCGCAGCAGCAGCAGTGCTTCCAGCAGCAGCAGCTGCCACAGTTCCTTCCGCCGCAGCAGCAGCAGCAGTCCTTCCAGCAGCAGCGGCAGCCACAGTTTCTTCAGCCGCAGCAGCAGCAGTGCTTCCAGCAGCAGCACCAGCCACAGTTCTCTCCATCCGCAGCAGCAGCAGCAGTGCTTCCAGCAGCAGCAGCCACCACAATCTCTCCAGCCGCAGCAACCGCAGCAGCATCGGTGGTGCTTCCAGCAGCAGCAGCAGCCCAATCTCTCCAGCCGCAACCGCCACAGTCTCTCCCACCGCAGCAGCCGCCGCAGCAACAGTACTTACAGCAGCAGCACCCGCCGCTCTCTCCCTCTTCTATCCATGAAACAACTCTCCAGTACTCTGTGTTCCATCCCTCTCCTTCCCCCCCCACCCTGGACTTTGTCCTTGACAGTGGGGCCACCGAAACCGCACTAAAAGACGCTGGCACCCTCACCCCCCTCCCACTTCCCACCCAGGTTCATGGTGCCGACTCCAGCTTTTCCATCCCCTGCACTCACCTCTCCACCCTTCCTTGCACCGCCTTCCCATCCGGTACAGTCACCGGTCTCCACATCCCTACCCTTCGCAATAACCTCCTCTCCCACCGTGAACTCCAAGGCGTTGGCATTACCGCCATATACCCTGGCTTTGCTTCCTACTGCGATCTCTATCACACCGCCTCTGGTCGTTTCCTCCTGCGCATTCCCCTTTGCCCTCGCACTCGCCTTTACACGCTCCGCACACCCCGTCCCTCCTTTTGTCACGTCACCACTCGTGCTGGTACTTCCACCGGTCCCCTTCTCCCTCCCCCTCCCCCTCCTCTTCCCCCTCACCCTCCCCCTCCCCTTCTCCCTCTCCCTCCGATATCCTCCTCCTCTACTCCATCCGCCTCCTCCTCCCCCCCCAACTTTTCCCCCACCCCATCCCCCTCCTCCTCTACTGCCCTCTCCCATCCTGCGGTGCTCCTACATCACAGACTCGGCCATCCCAACTTCGTCGCACTTCGCTCCACCGTCACCTCTCGCCTCCTTAACAGCCTTCCTCCCACCTTACCTCCCCTCCCCTCCTCCCCTGCTCCCCCATGCCCATCATGCATTCATGGCAAGCTCAAACAGTCCCCCCATCACAGTCACCCCACCTTCGCTCCCGCCCCCATTGACCTTGTTCCCATGGATCTCTGGGGCCCTTATCCCATCCGCTCTCGTCAGGGGCACAGGTACATGCTCGTGCTCGTCGACGACCACAGTCGGTACTCCACCGTCTTCTTTCTTCACACGAAAGACCAGGTGCCGGCTGTGGTCATCAACTGGGCTGAGCAGTGCCGCAACCACTTCAAACGTCCCATAGGCCGCCTTCACTCTGACGGTGGGGGTGAGTTCATCAATCATACTCTCTCCACTTACTGCAAAACATACGGCATTCAGCAGACCTCCACCCTTCCCCACTCCCCTCAGCAAAACGGCATCGCTGAGAGTCGCATCCGTGAGATCACCAAGATTGCGCGCTGCCTCATTGCTCATGCCTCCAACCCTCCCTCCCTCTGGAGCTATGCTCTCATTCATGCCGCCCTCCTCCTCAATCTTCGCTCCCACCCTCAGCATCCCTCCTCCTCCCCCACAGAACTCTGGTCCAAGGCCAAGCCTGACGCCGCAGGCCTTCGTGTTTGGGGCTGCAAGGCGTTCGTCCTCATTCCACCGGCCGACTGCTCCCGCGCTGCTGGCAAGCTCGCTCCTCGCGCTCTGGAGTGTGTCTACCTTGGGCACAATCGTGATTCCCCTGGCTACCTATTCCTCCACCCTCCCACCAATCGCCTCATCCGCAGCATTGACGTCGTCTTCGACGAGTCCACTCCCTACTACTCCACCCCTCCTCCTGACCCCCTCCCTCCTCCCACTCGCCCCCTCGCTTGGACCGACACCGTCCTCCCGCCTCTTCTCCCTCCAGCGCCTCTCCTCCCACCTGTCGCCGCTCCACTCCCGCCTTCCTCCTCTGCCGACGTCTACAACCCTGCCGCACCCGCCTCCCCCGCTCACTCCACTGCACCCCCTCCCCCCTCTCCCTCCTCCTCTCATTCTCCTCCTTTCCAGCAGCCGGATCAGCAACAGCAGGGGCAGCAGCAGCAGCAGCAGCAGCCGGATCAGCACCAGCAGGGGCAGCAGCAGCACCAGCAGCAGCCGCGGCAGCAGCAGCAGCAGCCGGAGCAACACCAGCAACGGCAGCAGGGGCAACAGCAGCAGCAGCAACGGCAGCCGGGGCAGCAGCAGCAGCAGCAGCCGGAGCAGCAGCAGCAGCAGCAGCAGCAGCAGCAGCCGGGGCAGCCGCAACAGCAGCAACCGGGACAGCAGCAGCAGCAGCAGCAGCAGCAGCAGTAGCAGCAGCAGCAGCAGCAGCAGCAGCACAGTCAGCAGCAGCAGACACAGCAGCAGCACGGTCCGCAGCAGCCGCAACAACAAGGGCAGCAGCTTCAGCAGCACCAGCAGCAGCAGCGGCGCCGTGCCACTTCCCGCTCCTCCCCCTTCCTCCTCCCTTACATCCATACCCGCTCGGTGGACAAAATCCTTGGGGCTCCTCCTCCTGCCTCCATTCAGCTCCTTGAGGACTCCCATGAGGAGTTCCTCAACATTCGGGAGCACACTCCGTTCCTTGCCTCCCTCTACCTTGACTTCCTTGGCTTTCCTGTCCTTGGCGCCACCACCACCCCCACCATCTTCACTCCCTCCACCTTCCAGGAAGCCATCACCTGCCCTGACGCGGATAAATGGATAGCAGCGATCTTCCTGGAGTGTGAGGCATTCATTCGCAACGACTCCTTTGTCGATGTCCCCCTCCCAGCCGGCGCCAACCTCGTGGACGGGAAATGGGTCTTTCGGGTGAAGCAGCTGCCGGGCGAGGAACCGGTGTACAAGGCCCGCTACTGCGCCAAGGCGTTCACGCAGACTTGGGCCGAGGACTACTGGTTCACCTACGCCCCCACCGCCAAACCACCCACCCTTCGCGCCGCCCTCGACATTGGCGCACGTGACAACATGGAGATCGATTCCATGGACGTCTCCAATGCGTTCCTGCAGGGCGACCTGCACGAGCGCATTTTCCTCCGGCGACCCCCCGGGTTCCACGCAGCCTTCCCTGAGAACACTGTCTGGCAGCTGCGCCGCCCTGTCTACGGTTTGAAGCAGGCACCGCGTGAGTGGCATGCGAAGCTGGCTGCCACCTTAGGGTCTCTCGGCTTCTCTGCTTCCCACTCCGACGCCAGCCTCTTCATCCGCTCCTCCCCCCGCCGATTCTTCATTCTGGTGTATGTGGACGACATGATCCTGCTCTCTGACACCAGGGCCGACATGGAGCAGATGAAGCTGTCCCTGCAGCAGCGTCTCAAGTGCAAAGACCTTGGCGCCCTCACTCACTACCTGGGCATGGCCATCACGCGCAACCGCCCTGCTCGCACCATCACCCTCTCACAGTCCCACTACATCGGCCAGGTCTTGGAGAAGTTCGACATGGCGCAGGCCAAGCCTGTCTCCACCCCCCTCCTTTTCGGCCACCAACTCGCACCACCCTCCTCCCCCACCTCCTCCCCCCACCCCTATGCCGAGCTCGTTGGGTCCCTGATGTACGCGATGATGTGCACCCGCCCCGACCTCGCCTACCCCATCAGCGTGCTCGCCCGCTTTGTCGGCACCGGTCGTCACACTGAGGAGCACTGGAAAGCTGCCAAGCGGGTCCTCCGCTACCTTCGCGGGACCAAGGACCTTGCCCTCACCCTTGGCGGCCCTTCCCCTCCTCTTCTCTCAGGCTTCAGTGACTCCTCTTGGGCTGACACGCAGCCGGACCGCCGCTCCTCCCAGGGCTACGGCTTCACCCTTGGCAGCGGCCTCATCAGCTGGCGCTCCACCCGCTCCTCCGCCATCTCTCTCTCCACCTGCGAGGCCGAGCTCTACGCTGGCACCATGGCCGCCCAGGAGTCCCGCTGGCTTTGTTTCCTTCTTGCAGAGCTTGGCGCCCCCCAGACGTGCCCCACCCTCTGGTGCGACAATGCCAGCACCATCCATCTCACTCAGGACCCCGTCTATCACGCCCGCTCCAAACACATCGAGCTCCGCTACTTTTTCATTCGCGAGCTCGTCCAGAAGGGCCTTATTGCCGTTCGCAAGATTGCGACCGAGGCCAACTTGGCCGACATCTTCACTAAGGCCCTCCTTCGCCCTGCGCACTCTGCTTTCCTCCGCCTCATTGGCCTCGCTCGCCCGGGCGCCCCTTGATTCAGGGGTTGTTCTCTTCCTGTGTTAGCATGCTAAGGGGTTGTGTTAAAATATATGTTGTGTAGCATGCCAACACATGTGACTGTACACCAATTGTGGTGTACAGTTGGGTTGGGACTACACCCAACTTTGGGTGTAGTCTTGCACTTTGGGGTGCCAATCCACCCAATTGTGGTGGAGCCCCCAAATGCAACCCACTTGGCTTATGGGTGCCTCACTTCCCACAAGTGAGGTCATCTCAAGCCAAGTGGGCCTAGGGTTGCCTCACTTCTACAAGTGAGGTCAACCCAACCTATGGTCACCTTCACCCTTCTCTTCCAAGCCTCTCTTCCAACTATGTATGCTAGGTTTCTCCTCTAATGAAGTTACTTGTTCAATTTGCTACTTTCACAAAGGGAGGGGCTGGTTGGTGGTGAGGTGACGATTTAGTCGACTCAGAAGTAGTCCGTTGCTCGCGATACCTCGTCCAAGCTGTACTGCTGGCACGACCCTGGAGGGCACGTGGGGAGAGAGGGTGTGAGATAAGGGGAGGGGAGAGAGAGAGGAAGGGATGGGCTGGGTGGTGGTGAGGTGACGTTCTAGTCGACTCAGAAGTAGTACGTTACTCGCGATACCTCGTCCAAGCTGTACTGCTGGCACGACCCTGCCAGGGCGCGTGCAGGAGGGGAGGAGAGAAGTGAAGGGAGGGGTGGGGGGGAAGAGGGCGGAAGGGAGAGGTGGGTGGGGGGGAGAGTGGGTGGAAAGGGAGGGGTGGGGCGAACCCGAAGGGGGGCGTGCCTGAAACGGGGCGCGCCTGAATCCGAAGGGGGCCATACCTGGACTGGAGGGGGGCGCACCTGAGGTGGAGCGGCGCAGTTGTCTGTTCCAGAGGGAGAGCAGCAGCGCGAGGGACACGAGCACCAGCGCCGCCTCTGACGACACCCCCGCCGCCGCTGCCCCCGCGGCCGCCCCCCACTCCGGGCCCCATGCCGTGATTTGCGGAGGGAGCGATGGAGAGATGGCGCCGGTGGTGCGGGGTGGGTACGGGGAGGAGGAGGAGGAGGAGGCGTGGAGGAAGAAAGGAGAGAGGAATGTGGAGCGGATGGTGGGGAGACGCGCGAGGGGGTGAGCGGGATCGAAGGGCGGGTCAAGGGCATGCTGGTGGGGAATTTGGGGCGCTGCCATTGGTTGAACACGGGGCGTGGGGAGGGATGGGGCGAGGAGGGAGAGAGTAAGCGGAGACAGCAACGACACAGACAAACAACACATTTGTCCCCTCGTGAGCCTATCACCGCCACGCTAGACACATATAAATTGCCATGATGGCAGCCACAGCCACATCACGATTCAGCAATGGAACTGCCACGTCACCTTGGATTCCAGCCACGTCACGCCATCTCTGCCACGGCCAGCTGGACGTCGACCCCTCCACCACTGCTGCCGCGTACCGCCCCGGGTAGGCTCGAGGCATGCTTTAGGGTTACCCGCTGGTAACACGCGGTGGTGCTGGGAACTACAGCGATGTCAAAAGCTGTTGTACAGTCTAGGTATGAAATATTAAATGCCGGCTGTCGAAAAGCTTATATCTGTCTTAAATAACTAATGAAGTGGATCGGCTGTTAATAGGGAACTAGGTGGCCGTACACGCGCCACTATCCGATCGTCCGTGGAATCATTGAAATGTCACGGGTGTAAAGAATCCGTGAGCCTTTAAGAACCGTGCTTGAATAGAACCTCGACATGTCGCGCTGGTGTAGAGGGGGCGTGCTAGGCGGAGAGAGCTACTGAGGCCACTGGGACGGGCAACGAGGAAGGAGAAAAGCGGAACGACGACGACGTGTCAGGACGAGGATGATCACGGGAGTGGGGATCACGCAGGAAGGATGTGCGAGGAACGGAGGTTCCTCGTCTGCTAGCCCGCATTGCACGCCTCCGACAGGCGGCTCGGCTCGGCTCGGCTCTCCTAGCTGATCGTTTTGGTCAAAGATAACGGTCCCTCGAGCATTCCTCAATGCGCCGTTGTCCGGCTCTTCACGCACGAGCCCTGTGCTTCCCTACGGCCGTGGATTTTGACACGTGGCATGCTTTCTACAGCGCTTAGTGAGGCGAGCACAGGAGTGCTGGCTTGGCTTTACGGAGTAGCAGATGGAATACTAATATTCCACTAAGCGCAGGTCGCGGGGGATTATTCATACGCCATCGCCGATGGTATGCTGAACAGTAGGCTGCTGTCCTGCCGGAAGTGGCTGCTCGGCTTGGCAAGCATCTCGCGTTCACTCTGCTCGATGTGCTTTGCCTCGCCTCACTCTTCTTTTCTCTCTCGCGGGCAGTCAGCGAGTCACAAACACACAGCATCATCGTTCGTTGTCAGGGTCATCTCATCTCATCTCTCCCGCCTGCTGTCACTGTTGCCATCCACTTCTCACCCACATGACTGCATTGCGGTGCACGACACAACCAGTGCCATTGGCTTCGGTACAGTGTAGCGCATTTTCTGGGATTTGCCCTAGTGTAGCATGATCTCGCATATTGTAATAATCATTTCGAAACTCTCAAGTGGTCGAGATCTGAGGTAAAATAGCCAATTGGTGAAAACTTCAATTGGAACGAAGTGGATGGAGATATTCGTATGACATAGTGTGACAAGACAGGCACCACATTGGTGTCATTTAAAGCCCAAGACCTGAATTACAAAAAACTGAAGGCAAACTGTGCACAGTTTGCCTTCCGAGCCCACAGTTGACTTCCCGAACCTCCCTGGTTACCAAATGACGCCCCGCAAAAAAACCAGGGAGTCGTAGAGCAGCACAGGTTTGGTTGGCGAGAGTCCCAGCCACTCCCTCCTGAAGGGAGTAGGGCAAGCTGTGCACAGTTTGGAAATTGTTGTAATTCAGGTCATGCTCGACCACGTAGTACGCACGCACTCGTAGGTAGAACAGGAAGCCATTAGAGCCAGAGCCCACTCCACACACACACACAAAAAAAAAGATTTTGTGTGATTAGCAGAGTGTTGCGATGGCCCCGCTTATTACTCAGCGTCGTCGTCGAAACCCTGCGCGACCGCGCAAACGCCAGTTTGCGACGCATGCATCTCCCTCTCCGAGGTCGATGAGAATCGTACGGTCGATGTTGTCATTTCCCGCGCGTTCCCCCTCGGTTTGCCTCAGCCCTATTCCCCTCCCGCGCTTCCTCGTCGACGTCACGTCCCGTCACTCACGCTTGCCCTCGTCGACGTCGCCGTGCCCAATTACGTCGCTACTTTTACGTCTTAGATCGATCTCTTCCTATGTTGTCTAGCGCCTTCCGCGTTCCCCACGCTTCGCCCCACCGTCGCCCGCGCTTCCTCCCGCTGTCGCTCACACTTCACTCCGTCGTTGCCCACGCTACCTTTCCCGTCACCCACCTTCACCGTCGTCCACGTTTTCCCCCTGTCGCTTTTCTCCCACCCACCGTCGCCCTCGCTTCCCATCTCATCGCCCACGCTTCCTCCCACCGTCGCCCTCGCTTCCTCCCACCATCGCCCTCGCTTCCTCCCACCGTCGCCCACACTCCCTCCCACCGTCGCCCTCGTTTCCCCCCACCGTCGCCCTCGCTTCCTCCCACGTCGCCCTCGCTTCCTCCCACCGTCGCCCTCGCTTCCTCCCACCGTCGCCCTCGCTTCCTCCCACCGTCTCCCTCGCTTCCTCCCACCCTCCCCTACACTCCGCCGCCGTCATCACTTCCCTGCCTATCACGTTCACCCTCTTCCTCCCACCCACCCACCCCCCCCACCCTCTCATCCCTTCCTATCACATTTAGGGTCATCGTTGCTTCCCTTCCCCATTGCCTCATTAGGTCGCACTCGCTCTATCCCCCTCTTCCACCTTTTCCACTTCCACTGTTGTCCTTGGTTACCACCCCACCCTTGCACCCTTCTTTCCTTCTCTCACATTCTCCTTTCCCCCTGCCTCACACCCACCCTGGGCGCAGAGAGATGGCGGGCTGGGCTGGGCACTGGGTATGGGTTCGTGACATCTTCGCTGTGGCGTGTGCGAGGGTGTGTGGTGCGCAGGCGAGGGGAGAATGAAAGCTGATGCGGTGCTAGGCGAGGAGCATGCACCGCTGTGCACACCCCCTGCCCCTCACGTTGTGCCCCTCACAGCCCCATGGCAGCACAGCACCTCTCTCTCGCACCAACCCCGCACACATGGCAGGTGCGGCTGCAGCATTGGAGCAGAGTGCTTGGCGCACAGCCGGGGCAGCACGTGCAGGCGGGCAGTGAGGAGCGCTGTGCTCAAGGGGGCGAGTGGAGGGGGGGAGGGGAGTTGGGGAGGGGGGGCAGGGGAGTTGGGGAGGGGGGGGCAGGGGGGTTTGGGGAGGGGGGGCATGGGATTGTGACCCTGCCGCCCTTCTTTTCAATTGCCACCTTCCGAGTTTCCAATCGACCGCCTTTCCGCTCACCCACTTGTCCTCTCCCTACTTAAATTCCTCACATCCTCCCATCCCCCCTTCTCCCCTTCCACCCTCCAGCCCTTGTGCTCATCCTCCCTTCCCCTCATTCTCCCTTCATCTCATCCTCCCATCCTTCTTTTCTTCCTTCCCCCCTCCCTTCCTCCCTTCCTCCCTTCCACTCTTCCACCCAACGTCGTCCTCTCCTACTCCCTTCCTCTCTTCCTCTCTTCCACCCTCTTCCCTACTCTCTGCTTCAGTGTCTTTCCCCCCTCTCTTTCCCCTTTCCTCCCTCCCTTCATCCCATCCTCTCTTCCACCCTTCCTCCTTGTCTCCCTTGCTCATTTTCTCCCTCGGTGCAGTCCTTGTTCTCTGCATCCCTCTCTGCCATCCTCCCTTTCTTTCAGCCTCCTCACTTTCTCTCGTCAACCATTCCTCTGCACCCTCCTACCCTGCCGCGCCTGTACACTCCTACCCTGTCTGTATATTCTAGGGGCTTGTTTCTTGTCGCCTGCCCTTCCATTGTCATTGTTTTATATCCTTTCTCGATGCTTCGTGTTTGTGGTTCGTGCTTGTGTTTCGTGTTTGTGCAGGTTTGCCATGCATCCACTTGTGATGCCTTTGCTGTTTGATGGCTAGTGGTACCGTATGACCACTAGCCATGCCATGTAGTGTTGTTGGATGCTTCTCCTGATTCAACACTCTGGGCTTCAGAGCAGCCATGCACATGACCACTACAAAGAAATGCAACAAAGCAAGTTATATTTTTATGAAATTTGTCAGCAGTTGACTATAGGCACATGTACAAAGCTAGGAGGTGGTAACTTTCCATCCCACTCCTGTTGGACCCATGGTGCTGGGCACCTGTACAAGCATGGTCCTGTGATAGAACAAGGAGGGAAGGGGAGATATGGCAGAATAAGCGAGGGGTGGAGGTGGAGGTGCAGAAGGGTATGTATGGGAGGAGTGGACAAGGCAGAGGGGTGAGCAAAGGGGGAAAAGGAGAGAGGTAACGCGTGAGCTCTATGGTGGCGACCACGTTGACCTCTAACATGCCCTGATGGGGGGAAAAGGAAGAGGAGGGGGGGGGGAGGATGCAGGCAGAAGGAGGAGCGGAACAGAGAGGGGGAGAGAGCAAGGAGAGGTGTAACACATGAGCCTTATGGTGGCCACCTCGTTGACATCGAACATGCCCTGATGAGGGGAGGGAAGGGAGCGAATGTAGGACGCGGAGAGAGAGAGAGGAAAGGGGGGAAGGAGGGGAAGGGGGAGGGAGAGAGGGTGGTCGACCTGACGGGGCGAGCAACGAGCCACGTTGACTTCTAGCATGGCCTGATGGGGCGAGATGGGAGAAAGGGGAAACTGGAAAAAAAGGGGGAAATGAAGGGGGAGGATGCAGGATACAGGTAGAAAGGAACGGGATGGAGAGGGGGGCTTGATATGTGTTAAAAACGGGATGGAAGGGGAGGGGGGAGGGGAAGTGCTTTGTCTTTTTAACGAGGTGTAAGAGGGAGCCTTACCGGATGAGTGTCCTCTGGAGTGTCTTCACATGTGAGCTACTGCACATGGATTGATGCGGGGCAAAATACGAGCGGGAAAGGGGGGAAGAGAGAGGAAAGGCGGGGAAGGGTGGGGGGGGAGGGGGGACGAGGAGGGGGAGAAGGGAATTTAGCCTGAAAAAAGAGAGAAAAGGAAAAAGGGGGAGAAGAGTGAGGAAGGGGCTATAGGTAGATACAAAGATGAAGAGAGAAGAGGGGAGGGAGGAGAGGGAGAGCACATGGTTGAAGAGACTTGAGAGGAGGAGACTGTGTCGTGAGAGTGAGGAACTGGGAACGAGGGGAACTGGGAGAGGTAGGTACTAACAGAAAGAGAGCCAGGTGTGTGTAAAATAGGACACTCACTGTGCGCGGATGGGCAAAATTCAGAACCAGCACGTCAACCCCGCACGCCCCTCCCCCACCCAACCCCACTTTCCTCCTCCCCTCCCCCCCCCCCCCCCTTCCCCCCCTTCCCCCCCTCCTCACCTTCCCCTCTCCTCCCCCCCCTTTTTTTCTGCCTTCTCCCCTCCTTTACCCCTCCCCCCCCCTCCGCACCCACCCACATTCAGGATAGACGACTCACCGGGCGCGGATGGGCGGCATTCAACTCCGCACGGCCCTTCCTCTCCACGCGCCTCCTCCCCGCGGAGCACGCTTTCCGCCTGGCGCACTGCGTCGTGCAGCACGTCTGCTCCCCCTTTGAGGTCGAACGGCAGCACCACCACCCCCTCCGGCGCGTGCGTTCCGCAGCAGGAGGCGCCCACCGCCTGCAGGCGCTCCGCGGAGCGCGCGGAGAGGATCAGCCGCGCACCCATCGCCGCGAATCGCTGCGCCAGCTCCTGGCCTGGTACGGGGAGCGGGGCAGAGTGGGGCGCGAAGAGGGGGGCGGGAGAGGGGGGAGAGGGAGGAGCGGGGACCCGGGGGAAGGGAGACGTCGCGCGGAAGGGGGTGAGGATAGAGGGAGTGAGCAGGGGGAATGGGAGTGAACAGGAGAGAAGAGAGTGAAGGGGGGGAAGAGAGTGAGCAGGGGGGAAGAGAGAGAGCTTAGGGTGGGGGAATGGAGGGGATAAAGACGAGCTATGGGAGGGGGAGAGAAGGCGACGGGCGGGGAAGCGAGGGCGACTGGAGGAGAAGCCATTGCGACGGGCGGGGAAGAGAGAATGAGCTGGAGAGAGTGAAAGGCAATGGGAGGGGAAGTGAAGGCGACGGGGGGTGGGAAGTCGCGACGGGGTGGGGGGGGTCGAAGGCGACGGGATGGGGGAAGAGAAGGCGACGGGGGGGGGGGGGGGGGGGGGGGGGGGGGGGGGGGGGGGGGGGGGGGGGGGCGGGGGGGGAAGTGAGGGCGACGGGGTGGGGGAAATGAAGGCCACGGGGTGGGAAAAAGTGAAGGCGACGGGGGGTGGGAAGTCGCGACGGGGTTGGGGGGGGTGACCGCGACGGGGAAGAGCACGACGGTGGGCGGGGAGTGAAGGCGACGGGGGGGAAGTGAAGGCGCTCCGCGGAGCGTTCGCGACGGGCTGGGGTCGCGAAGGCGACGAGCTGCGGAAATGATGGCGACGACGCGGGCGACAGAGAGCGGAAGCGTGGGACCTAGGGAAAGGAAAGGAAAGCGAGGGGAGGACCACGCTTGGACGAACGGGTGTGATTCGATTTTCGTCGCGAGTTTACGCTACGCAGTAGTTGCACAATAACCTGCTAACACTAGCTTTGCGCGTCATCATCGAAATCCGCGCCACCCACATCGTAAGGCGCATCTGAACCCTTTTGAGTGAACGCCGACGCCCTGCCCTGTCTACGGGTATGGTCTATGCCTCATACTATGCGTGCTATCTCAAACTGTGCACAGTTTGGTATGCACGCGCTTTTCTGGTTGTGGGAAGGACCCCACCCATCATGGGAAGCGAGAAACTTTTGTCGCAAATTGTTTTGCGAGTTGAAAGTCTCTCGCAACCCAACCGAACCTCTCCGTGCCTGCCTCCCGAACCTAGTTTTTGGCGTTGACTTCCGTTGAGTAATTCAGCTCTTGGGCTTTAAACCACCACATTTCGATGCCTCCGGCATTTGTCACATGTTAGACTCCCACAATGGAGTATGTTATATCATGTACACCACTGCCTTGTGCCTTGTACCAATCATTCGTACAAATTCCTCCTGTGCCGTGTATGCCGCTGTATTGTGAATCGGTGGGCTGGGTGTTGGTGGTTCCACCCGCAATTATTGCTCCTCGTACGCTGTTGATACTCCACAAGCACCAGCGGCTGGCAAGGCCATGCCTCTGGACGTTCTGGACTGCAACATGGTAGACACGCCACTTATTGGGCTTAGAATCCTGGTGGCTCGGCCTCTCACGGACCTTGATTTTCTGTTCCCTTTACGCTTGTCAAGCAGCTCTCCCTTATGCCATCTGGTTTCGAAGCAGCCAGTCGTACCAGCAATTCTCCGATCTCCTTGATCCATTCCGAGTCGCCATGGATCCACGCAGCCGTTTTCGCTTCAAATTCGCCGCCTTGACTGTCCTACTGGTCTTCCTGCCTTCGTTCGTCTCATCAGTGACAATCGACAACTCTCAAGGTCCGTTCCATTCGCCATGTGCGCCGTTCCCTCACGACTCCTCACCTCGTTCGGCGTTCTACTCCCGTTGTGCAACCTCATTTGTTTGCCGAGCCATTTCCGATGCAAATACACGGTTCGCACCTGCTTCAGAGGCAACCCGCAACAGCCGCTCCGACTCCTCCGCACCGCACACCCGTCAGCCAAATTCACGCTGACCAACTCACCAAATCCTCTCTATCACATTCCTCCCGTTCGTTCCTCCCCGCGTGTCCCTCCCTCCCCGTGCATCCGGTGCTCGACTCCACAGCGGCAGCTCTGCAGGCTATCCAGGGCAGCTGGGGGGTGTCGATGGGCGGATGGACCAAGGGTGGGCAATGCGAGGACGCCTCCGGGTTGACGTGCAGTGGGAGCGGCATGGTGGAGGATCTGTAAGCCCAGCACAGCACAGCACCGCACAGCACAGCACAGCACCGCACAGCACAGCACACCATATCACAGCACCGCACAGCACAGCACAGCAACGCACAGCACAGCACAGCACAGCACCTCACAGCACCGCACCGCACAGCACAGCACAGCACAACACCGCACCGCACAGCACAGCACAGCACCGCACAGCACAGCACAGCACAGCACAGCACAGCACAGCACCGTATTGCTCGCTCCTATCTCGCCCTGCCTGCTCCTGCTCCCCCACCCACCACCTCCTCCATTCGCCCTGCTTCCCTACTCCCATGAGCCTTCGAACAAGCTTGAACGATGCATGCACAGTGCACTATCCGATGTTCATCTGTGCCTTAACATGCTGAATCCGACCCACCCACCCTTTTTCTCCAGGGATCTTACCGCTTCGACCGAGTTTACAGGGTTCACCACGCAGACTCTCCCGAGCGCACTCTTCAACCTCACCTCGCTCACACGCCTGTCGGTCTCTCTCACCCGCTTAGCCTGTTCGCCTGCCCCACGTTTCTTTTATGGCCAACACAGAAATCGTGCTCTTTAGCCTCGCGTCGCTCTCACGCCTGTCAGTCTTGCTCACCCTGCTCGTGCCCCGTGCCCACTCTTGCCGTCTCTCTATCCAACCTGCTGCCGTGCGGTGTGCCCCTACCACCTTCATTCTCCCCAAGTCGCTCACTACCACCCTGCATGGCCTCCCTTGTTCCCACTATGCTTCAACGCACGAGAATCTAGCATTTCCAAGTGCCAGTGTGCCTGCTCCTGCTACCTTCCCCTGCTACTTGTCCCCCCAGTGTCCTGCATCCACCCATGCACCAATGCAGTGCCATGCCATGCATGTTACCATGTATGTCCCCTCATGTTCCGCAACAGGAGACTCACTCGCCTCAATCTCCAAGGTTCCATCCCTGAAGCCTTGGGCACTCTCCTTCACCTACAAGTCATGTACGCCCTCCGCTCCGCCCTTTCAAACCTCGCCTTTTCTTCTCTTCCATTCCATCCTCTCATACTGCCCCCGTCCGCTCCTCGGAATCCCCACCTCGCCTTGCCGTGTTGTCTGTACGGCTGTGCCTGTGTAGCACGCGCTCTCCCTCGCTGCTGCTCGCCGTCCTCTCCGTTTTCCCTATTATTGCATCGCACCACACTTCACGGTCTGCTCCGCATTTCTCTCACCCCCCCGTGCACCCCCCTCTCCTCCCCCTCCCGTGCTCCCCCCCCCCCCCCTTCCCGTGCTTTCCCCCCTCTCTCATGCTCCCCTCCCTCTCCTGCCCACTCTCGTGCTCCCCCCTCCCCCCTCCGGTGCTCCTCCCTCCCCCTCGTGCACACACGCCCCTCAGCAAGCTGTACAACAACAACCTCACAGGCCCGCTGCCAGCATCGCTCACCAATCTCGACAAGCTCAGCATACTGTGCGTGCCACCGTGCCGCCCTGGGCCCTGGGACCATTGCATTGCATTGCATTGCATTGCACACTCACTGTCACCACCAGAACTGTCCTCTCTATTTCCTGCACGAACCCGAATCTGTCGTCACTTTCGACTGAAACGTGTCGCCCCTTCTTCTCGCCCCCGTCCCCCCGTTCCGACCGACCCTCCTTCCCTCCCTCCCTCTCTCCCTCCCTTCCTTCTTCCCCACCATCTCGCCCACCCTGGGTGGGTGCTTGATGCCACGCGAGCAGGCAGATGGACTTCAACGGGATCACGAGCCCTGTGCCGCAGCTCGCCACAACCATGGAACACCTATGTCACGCTGCCCTCGCCGCATGCCACGCACGCACACACCCATGCTTCTCGCCGCAATCCAATTATCATGCTTCGCCTTCCTCTGCCTCTGCTGCTGCTGCTGCTGCTGCTGCTCCTAAATCTCCTCCTCGAACGACCGATTTTAATGACAGTGTCTTTCTGCGCATGCGTGCATGGCGCCACCACCCGCACATCACATGGCAGGAACCTGCAGGACAACCGCCTCACAGGCGCCATGCCTCACTGGCTCTCCACCTTGAAAGGCCTCCAGAACCTGTACGCCCTTGCCTCCTCTCTCTCTCATTCTCACACACCTTCCATTCCCACACCTTCCTCCCTCGCCCGTATTCCACTCGCTCACTCCCCACCCCCCCTCCCCCGTACTCGCCCTTTCCTGGCATCATCTGTGTGTGCCTCTTCACTTCATACCGTCTATCCCCCCACACCGCCCCGCCATGGCGTGCACTGCATGGCGCCCATCCCCTGGCTGGCAGGAGCCTGAACAACAACAGCCTCAGCGGAACACTTCCAGAGGGGCTGGCCCAGCTACTCAACCTCACCACGCTGTGAGTCGCAGCCCTCAACACGTTGTTATCCGGTCGGGCACAATTCGTGAGGCGTCTCAAAGCACGGTCTTATGCGGGCACAGCTCGTGTACAGGAAAGGAACGTGGGAGAAGAGAACCTACCTTTTGAGACTCTTCTCTCGCCGCCTTGCTGCCATCTGTGTGTGTGTGTTTAGCGCCGTGTATGTCCTCCCTTTCTCAGCAACTCTGACACTAGCGCATGCAGTGCCTTTTGAAAGTCCTCAGAAGCGTATGCAGTGAACCCCCCTTCCTTGTAGCTGCTCGATCATGGATAGACTCCCCCAATGCACACCATCGTTCTTCCATCCCATCACATCACAGCACAGCACAGCACAGCCCCTGGCCTGGCCCCCGCTCTCTCACCTCCTCACATACTCCTCCTCTTGATGGCATGGAATGGAATACGTGACATGGCATGCGTGGAATGGAATGTGGAACATGGCTTGGCATGGCGTGGCGTGGATGGCATGACATGGCATGGATGGCATGCCATGGCATGTGTGTGGTGCGGCCATGGCAGGAGGTTGCACTCGAACCAGCTGAGTGGGTCCATTCCGACGTTCCTGGGGGAGCTGCGCGCGCTCAAGGACCTGTGAGCATGCATGGCGTGGCGTGCTGCATGGCGTGCTGCATGGTGCATGGGGAGTGGGTGAGAAATTGGCGTAGAGTAGCGGGAGAGGCCAGCATGGTGGTTGAGAGGGAAGAAGAGGATAAGGGCGGGAGAAGGGGAGGAGAGCGGTTGAGAGCACTTGAAAGGTGCTGTGTGCATGATGGCATTCTGAGGAGTGGGCTTGTGCAGATTGGAGCATGTGAGGGAGCAAGTGAGAGAGAGAGAGAGATACCAAGCGATAAGAGCGAGGCGCATGGCAAGATGAGCGTTTATGAGCGTTGATGTGACATCTATCTACAACACCTCCATCCACGCCCTGCCATCCCTCTCCCCCCCTGCCCATCCTTGTTTGTGCCACTGCAGCACGCTGCACGACACCCTGATAACTGGCACCATACCAGCCACCCTGGGAGGGCTCGCCGCACTCAAGGACTTGTGAGTCCCTCCCTCCTGCCCACCCTCTTCCTTCCACGCGCACAGTACGCTTGACACACTTCCCCAGCAGCGCCCTCACAAACAAGAGGGCTTGTGAGCGTGCCTTCTTCTCTCTCAACCGCTTCCTTGCGCATACATGCCCGCACCTGCCTCTATGTGCTTCCTTCCACTCAGCCCTCCCCTGTCTCACGACCACACCCCTGCACCACCCCTCTGCCAATCTGTGTGTTTCCCCTCGCCGCTTCACCACAGCAATGTGCCAGGGTACCTGGCGTGCCCGGGCAACAGCACCTGGTGCGTGGTGCCTCAGACCAACACCACGGCCTTCTGCCACCGCTGCACCGCCTTCTGCGCCACTTGCTCCACGGAAGGTGCCCTCCTCCTCGCCCCACCTTCCCCTCTCCCTCCACGCCCCTACTTCCCCTCTCGCTCCATGACCCGTCTTCCCCTCTGCCTCCGCGTCTCTATCTCCTTTTTCCGCTGCTCCCTTTCTCTTTTCCCCTCTGCATCTGCTCCCACACTCTCCATTCTCCCTCTGCTACTCTGTCGTTCGTCCTTTTTCCTTCCACTACGTCTCTCTCGCGCTCTTCTCCTCGCACCATGTTGCGCTGTCTGCTCTGCAGCGTCCTCTCTCTGCTGCCTCCTGACTCTGCTTCCCCTGCATCGCATCCAGCTTTGGCTCCCCCATCAATCCCCGTACCTCCTGCCTCTGCTGCACCCCTGGCACACTCCCTCCTCCCTGCACACCAACGCCGCTGCGCCTCTCAACTCTCCATCCCCGTGCCCCCTCCCTCCCCACAGCTCCGCCCGCACCGCCCGTGGACAGCTGCTTGGGGGTGGTGTGCGCGAGAGAATCCACAGTGTGTGAGAACGGGCAGTGCCGCTGCGCTGACGGCTACGTCGGCAACGCCACCACTGGATCGTGCGCTATCGGGATCACTATTTGGCGCCTTATTCTCATCATTGTCGGATCAGCACTCGCACTCGCGCTGCTGTGCCTCGCTGCCGTGTGGCTCTACAAGAGATTCTTCCGCAGCGGCAGCAGCAGCAGTGGTACCCACAGCATGTACGCAACGCAGCGGTGGCCAATCGGCAAGTCGACACGAGTCGGTAAGTGATGGTGGCCATTCAAACTGCTAGTCAAGCTAGCGCCGTGCTGCTGTGCCTCGCTGCCGTGTGGCTCTACAAGAGATTCTTCCGCAGCGGCAGCAGCGGCGGCGGCGGCAGCAGTACACACATCATGTACCCGACACAGCACTGGTCAATCGGCAAGTCGTCACGAAGCGGTAAGGCGTGCTGGCCACTGAACCTGAGAGTCAAGTCAAGTTAGCGTGTCCTCTGTTGCAAAGCGAGTGCTTCATTCATCCCTCGCACCCACCATTTTCTCTCGCCCACACCATTTTCTCTCGCCCTTCCTTTCCTTTCCACCCCACGCCTCACGCTCATCCGTTTCTCTCATCCACCACACACTCTGCTCGCCACACACCCATGGCCGCAACCAAGCACCGTGCCACGTCTTTGCCCCTTGCCACCCTTGCCTTGTTGTAACGCACCTCTAGACTTCTCAGGTACGCATTGCCGCATGATGCCCATCAATCTAGGCGTGTTCTTCTGAGTCGACACAAATCCCACACCATCCTCACGCCCCTCATCTCAACGGCGCAGGGGTGGGCGCGTGGGCGGAGTCAGGAGTGGTGTGCAAGGAGTACCCCCTGAAGCTGGTGCTCAAGGCCACCAACAACTGGTCTCAGGACAACCTGTTGGGGTCGGGAGGATACGGAGACGTGTACCGAGGAGTGAGCCTGCTTGATGCCTGCACGCCCTGGGCTGTCAAGCGCGCCAAAGTGCTCACGAATGACTTTCAGAAGGAGGTGCGTGTGGTGTGTGGGTGTGCGCGCGCGCGTGCGTCCATGCGTGCATGCGTGCGCATGCGATTTTATCGTCCACCAATCGACTTTCTCTTTGCCACTGAAAAGGTTTTCATCTGCTGCACTTGGCTCTTTCACCAGTCCTGCCACTCCTCCCATCCACACCTTCCGTTCCTCCCCTTGCACGCGCATGCACACTCACCTCTCACCTCTCCACCCGCTCACCACGCGCTCTCCACGTATGTTTGATTTGAAGCACCACACCACCCACCAATTCACAGGTGCCGTGCCCCAGGTGTGTCTCGACCCTCGTTAAATAGTTTCCTGCCGATGCATACCACTCTGCACCGCACCACACCACACCACCCGCCCGCCACAGGTTTGCCAGATGTCGTCGAAGCACCACCCGCACCTGGTGCGCCTGCTGGGCTTTGCCATGGGCGGCAATGTGCGGTCCAAGATAGAGCAGGTGCTCATATACGAGCTCATGCCCAATGGAGACCTGGACAAGTGGATGGGCAAAGGTACGCACCAACACCAACACACCACTCACTCCCGCCCTCCCTCTGTGACACATTGTGCTGATCTGTGCATAACCCATGTTCTTCTTACATAGAGTCCGTTTCTGATTGTTCATTGCCTCTCCGTGTAGCTCCGTACCTCAGCCCGTTTTCGTGCGCTCCTCGCTCTTTGTCCCATGATTACCAGGACAACATGCACCATCAGTACATGAGCGTCTGCCTTCTCTTGTGAGATCTGCCGTCTCTGCAAGAGGGCCTCCCCTCACCCTGCTTCGCCCTCTCCTCCCTCCTTCCCTCTCCTCCCTCCCTCCCTTTTTTCCCTCTCCTCCTGCGAACATCCACCTCCCTGGGCTCAGATGCTGCGGCCTGCCTGACCCTACAGCAGCGGCTGGACATTCTGATAGGAGCAGCGCGCGGGTTGGAGTATCTGCACAGCTTTGGCTTCATGCATCGCGACATCAAGCCCGCCAACATTCTGCTGGATGCAAACATGCAGGTGAGTGCATGCAGTGATGGGTATTTAGTAGGAAGTCAGCTTGCACATGCTGTGGCATCGGTGGGGACCAAGAGTGGTGCGGTGCGGTGCTGTGCGGTGCGTTGCGGTGCGGTGTGGACTAGCTTCCTTGCGCGTCAGCTCCACGTGCCTCCCCGTCTGCTTGCACACTAGATACCAACCTGCTTCTCTGCTCTTTTGTGCAAATCAAGAGTCTATCCACAGTGAAAGAGCGCTGCGCAGAAGCAAAGGCTCACTAATGCTGTAGGGACTTCCACAGCCCTAATGCTTTTCTGATCGGCCATTGCACGTTTGTGTGCTCGGCTCTTTCTCTCCCTATCACAGGCCAAGGTGTCGGACTTTGGGCTGGTGAAACTGGGCGAGGGGGAATTGGCCGTGCAGTCAACTCGAGTCTTGGGAACTCCAGGCTATGTTGACCCTGCATACGCCAACACCAAGAAGGCAACCACAGCTGCTGATGTGTACAGGTGTGGGGTCTCTTTGTTTGCCAAGCTAATGGACAATCAACATATAAATTGTGGAGTTACTTTTCAGGATTACTCTGATATCGTTTCTCGTGTTTTGAGCAAGGTGTAGCCATAATCCCGCTAACTGCAGGATGACTCATCAAATCTGCCATCCCCCAACCCCTCCCATCCTTTGCAGTTTTGGCATTCTGATGCTTGCAGTCGTGACTGGGGGAGGAGCAACATTCATGGAAGGCGAAGACCAGCGCCACATTCTCTCCTGGGTGAGCCGCATTTTTTCCCTTATGACATTCTCTCTTCCTCTCATCCTTGAGGGTTTGCTTTGCTCTAGGGTGAGCCCCTCCACCTTCTTCTCTTAGTCTCTTCCCGTGAAGTTCAGAGTGGGCCACGATTCCCTCGTCCCATTCGTTTGCTTTTCTCATTCTCCTTGGTCCTCGGTCTTCTCGGGCCATCACCGGGAGAACCCAGAATGTACCACCCATCCCTCGCACAACGCTGTTTGCTAAACTTGAAGGGTTGTTCGGGTTACCGTGTGCAGAAAGGTTGGAAGTCCTTTGAGAAACTGCGTCCGGCGAACCAATGAGAGTGAAGCCGGGTGCCGCAAGGGCACCTGAGAGCTTTGTGTGTGGAGACAACTCGAACTTGTAAAGGGTTGTGAGCTTCGGGACTTGTAGCATACACAAAGAAAGACTAGCTTGTCGGAGCATGGCAGCAGTTTGAACCTCAACACCTTCTTCCCATATATCAGGTGGAAACCTTAATTGCCGCGAACAAGAGGGAGTGCATCGGAGACCCTGGCATGGAGGCGCCATATAATGTTGTGATGCACGTGGTTCAGCTTGCGCTCAGTTGCACGGCCATGCGCACTGCCTCACGGCCGACAATGACTCACGTTGTCCAGGAGTTGGAGACTGCAAGGGAGTTGATCGTGGGTGTGGGGGGCAACAAGGCATTTGCCCAGGTCGACGGCGAAATGAGGAATGCAATGACTATAGGAAGTTCTCTCGATGATGAGATAGAGAGGGTGCTGGATATACGTGGTGACGACAACAGTACCAGTGCCAGTTCGCGTTCAAACGCGTCGTTAGATACAGTATAGATTAACACCACTGCTTAGATTAACCCAGCGTTACAATATACCCTGATATAGTTTCCCATAAATATTTTTTGCCTGGGCTTCCTGAGATAGTATCAAATGGGGCACAATATGTGAATCAGTTATGTTTGGAGTTAAAATGTGTCTAACCTGTCCCTAAGATCGTATTCCAAAGCACGGACACCATCCGAAGTGGCCCCATCCGAACTTCTTGGGGCTCGGGATGGTGTCTGTGTGGGGCAGGCCCCCACTCTTGACTTTTGAGGTCGCAGGGTTGGCCGGAACGGTCGTCTGCGTCGTCTGACGCAGAGCTGGTTTGGTTTGCTTCGCGCCCAATAGAATCTGCCAGAACCCGTTGCAGTGTAGCCTGCCAAACGTCCAGTTCTGACTTCGCGGGCAATTGTGAAACTTGTGCCGCGAAATCGTTTTTTCCCCCGCTTTGAACATTCAATTTGGTTGACACTCGCGATCTGGCACTCCATCCCTTCCAACTCTATGCTTCTTGTTTCCCGTGCCTTGAAACCATACAAAACTTGCACTCGTCATAACACATTCGACACCAACTACTAGCCAGCAAAGGTCCTCTCCCACCCACTCACAATGGCTCCTAGGAAAAAACGTGCTTCTCGGGCTCAGGCAGTGGAAGAACAGTCACCCCCTGCGCCACGCCCTGATCCTCCGTTTGTTGTCTGGATGAAGCAGCAGATGGACATGGGGATCAGTCGCCTTCGCCTCATTGGAGTCACGGACTCACAGGGCACTCGCCGCCCTGGCGTTTCGCCTAATGCTGAACCTACCGCGGTGGGACTTGGCGACGCGGGCCCTGATGAGGAGGAGCCGCCGATTCCTTGCGAGGAGGACGGCGCCTACTCCGACGACGAATCCTACTGCGACTCTGACGGTTTCACGGCCGCGGATGCTGTGGACGACGACGGAGACGAGCCAGTCGATCCGCGCGACCCGAAAGGGAAGCGCAAGGCCTCTACGTCGAATCCTAAGAAGTCTCACTGGACCGACGACGAGCTTACTGAGCTCGCGGCTGCAATGTGGATGGCGAAAGGGGATTGGGATAACATGAAGGGCAAGCAAGGCGCACAGCCTTGGAAGAAGATGCGCCGAGTCCTTCGCAACACCAACCCAGAATGGAGGCGCCCATCTGACGCGATGGCAAAGCAGTGGACACGGCTGAAGTTAAAAATGGGCGACATTCTTACCGATGAGGCGCAATCTGGAGCCGTTCCAATTCCCAAGCCGGATTGGTTCCTATACGTGTACAATTTCGTACACACCGACAGGGCGCCCAATCCGCACGTGGTGGATGAAGGAGGCGCGCGCCACGCCAATGCACAGCCAACACGAACGACGGCGCCTTTGGGAAACCCGGATGTGGGGATTGAAGGTAAGTGCACATGTCAATTCTGCTCGTTCATTCATTTAATGATTCCGCGGACATAAGCAATGATTTGACAATTCCTGCCTTGGAACGACAAACCAGTAGCATAACCAATCGGATTGCAACTACGATTACGAGCATTCACGCATTTCACGCCCTCCTCTACCCCTCTACCCGCCCATACTCCAGGCACGCCCCCCCCTACCATTCCCGTTCGTCGCCGCGCCATGGAATCTCCGGCGTACGCCGGGCATCTCCTCGTGGCCGACACGATCACGCGCATCATGAACGAACGGAACAGCAGGCAGGACGCGGCTTTCGAGCGCCTCCTAGCTGTCCTCGAGCTCATGGCGCCAGCACCGTCAAGCAAGGAACCTCCCGCGACTGGCGGAACGGCGTCACCCGGGGGTCGCAGTGGCACAACTCCATCAGATGGGCCGCCCCGTTCCGACCCTTCTACGGCGCCTTCCGTGATCATGGCGCCCCCTTCATCGGCGCCGTACGCTGCTGACCCGCTGGGAGCGCGTCAGATCTTCGCCGACCCTTCATACATCAGCAATGTCCCTCCCCCTCTTGCGCAGGACAGCAATGGGCAGTGGTATTTCACTACTGCTCAGGCGCAGACGCGTCCTCCTCATGGCGCCTAAGCCAGGCAGCGTGAATGCGGGTGCCGAAGCGGTGGCGCCGCTCGACCACCTCCGCACGGGATGTGGCGGGAGTTGGATGCCACCGATACTGTCGCATGCCATGGCGCTCCCACCACGGGTTCCTTGCGCGCGTCGGTGGTCCGCGCGTTCTTCCGCGTGCAATCCCCCGACATTCTTCCTGCTGCTCGATCATGTTGTGAAGAATGACAGCACACCCCACCCCCGCACACACCCTCCACAGCTTGCACTCGTGACAGTTACTGAAGATCCTCCACCTGCCTTTGAATAGTCCCATGGCGCGCTCGACAGCCATCCGCGTAGAAGAGTGCACGTAGTTAAATGTTTGCTCCCAACCTCGCAGTAGACGTGTCCGGCTTGCGTGAATCGGAACTAGGCAGAAATCGGTCAATGGGTAGGCCGCGTCTCCAAGTAGCTGGTAGGGTGTGATGTCTCCTTGCTGTAATCGTCCATATAAAGCGCTCTTCGTGAATACACGCGCGTCATGCGCTGCACCTGGGTACCCCACAACGTAATCCCAGATCCTGCATTTTGAGTCGACTGTTAGCTGAAGCTGAACAGAGTACATCTGCTTGCGGCAGTAGTACTCGCTGCGGTAGTCATCGATGCCTCGCACTTGAATGTGCGTGCCGTCGACGGCTCCGATGACGTTCGGGACGCCCTTGGACTCCCGAAACTCCAGCTCCATTTCAGTCATGGCCTCTGGCGAAGGGAAGCGTACCCACTCCGCTTTGAACCTGAGAGGGAACTCAAGAAGGAAGATGTCCACAGCTTGGTGGCACACTGTTTTTGGAACAGCAAAGAACCAGCTCATATCAAGATACGTCATGCCCGTCGCCAAATACTTCAAAGGGATCAGAATGCATAGGCGCAATGGGATGTTGTCGGTTCGCGTCAATGGGAGGAACGATTCTGCAAGTTCGGTCTCGAGGTACTCTAAAATGTTCCGGTTGATACGGAATAACCCTATAAATTCGTGCTCCGGCATGGTTTCTATCGCCTCTAACCATCGCGCGCGCTGCTGTGTCCTTGCCATCCTCGTGGCCCGCCTTGATGTAGCACGTTCAGCAGGGAGGTTCATGCTGCTGATCCACTCGGAGGCCGCTGTCGCTAGAAGCTTGTCAGTCTCGTCGTCGTCTTGTTTCTTCCACTGGAGGAATGCTGTGATAGCCGCTAATGCGGCGACGGAATCGTTCGTCGCCATGGTTGTGGTTGCGTCAATGGCGGAGTGTGCAGTGATGAGCGTAGTATTGTGAGCATAGCGATGTGTTTTTATGTTGGTTGGCTTGGTGTTCAGAGCAGCGAGTACTTGTTCACGTCGTGAGGATCTGGAGTTTGTACAACCGACTAGCGCGCGGGTCAGAATGCGTAAAGTTTCGTGACGGTAACTGGTCACGTACTCAGCCTGTCAGGTTCAATGTCCCAATCATACACCAACATGGCATGAAACCCCTTGTCGCATGAAGACGTGCAAGACGGTCGCATGTTACGTTGCCGTCAGCTCCAAAGTGTCTTGATGCCGAACCGCGTGGCGCAACATTGAAATTCGAATTTCCAACATTGCGGACCGCGTGGCCCAACTTCGGATGGTGTCCGTGCTTTGGAATACGCCCTAAGGTACAACTACGGTACCACAACAGCGGCTCAAGGCTTGGTGGTACCGGGGAACTCAATGCGGTGGTGTTGGAGTCACCCTAATATTTTATCTGCTTGCGACAATCGCTCCGCACTTCACGCCTGCCATAGGCCTCAAGCTGTAGCGCTGCGCAACTTATCTAGTATCAGGCCGACCCGCATCAGCGCAGCGAATCTGTCCATTGGTCGCAAAGAATCTTGATCGCTGTGTATCTGGTTGTTGACTCGAGTCGCTTCGCTCAGTAAGCAGGGACAACAGCGTTGGTTGTAATCGTTGCTAGTCTTAAAGCAGCTTGAATGAGCGTGTGATTTAGGGGTAGATTTGTCCAGTTGTGTCGCGCGTATCCAGTCCCTCTTTGCGATACACATCCTTTTCAACCCGATTTCTCTTCTGCATCAGGGCAAATCCATCCATCGAGTCCGCTCCGCTTTTGCTACAGCAATTCGATATCTTGCCAGCCCTGAACTCTCGTTTGCACTGATCTGAACACATAGACAAGCGTGTTCTGAGCTGCTTACGGTTCTAGCTGATCAACAGTGTCGTCTGTCTCTCGCCTCGCCCAGCGACTGCACTAGCTACCACTGGGATTCGTTCCGCGTTCTTCGCTTCCCTTAGTCTCAGCTGCTCGCGAAGGCTACGACTGTCGCTAGGGTTACAGGCCTGACATTTCTTTCGTGGGAGCAGAGGGCGTGGAGGCGATGATAGTGTGCGTGGGCATCGTGGGCCAGGCGGTACGATGAGCACCCATGAGCAACGATGATCACCTTATACTGCCTCTTTCGTTCCCCAAGTCCTCATTCCTCTCATCGCCCGTTGCTTCATCCCATCGCTTTAAATTCTCTCTGCCTTCCCCTCAACCTTCGCACCACCCGCCAAAGCCTCCTCCTGTCCCGCTCGTTAGCCTTCCCCCTCCTCCCCCTCCCCTTCCCCCCCCCCCCCCCCCCCCCTCTCTCTCTCTCTCTCTCTCTCTCTCTCTCTCTCTCTCTCTCTCTCTCTCTCTCTCTCTCTCTCTCCCGTCCCTTCTTCTCCCTCTCGCTCCTCACGTCTCCTATCTAATTATCTTTCCCCCCCCACACCCCCCCTTCCCCCCGGTTCACCCACGATGCCTCAGAACAACCCGCTGTACCTGCAGAGCTTTTTGGAGGCGGACGATCCGCTCAAGTTCCACTTTATTGTGCACTGCTCACTAGACGTCATCGATGAGCGTGGTACGACGGCTGCACGGCACGGGCAAAGTGGGGCTAAATGAGAGGAGGAGTTTCTTGGGGCTCATGAGGGGGATGGGCAAGTACCTTTTCATCCTAAAGTGGGTGCACATGATAGGTCAAGGAGTGAGGGAAGCGATGTCAGCAGGAGGACATGCTTTTGAGTTGGGTTTCCTGTTGATCATCGTTGTTTGAAAGTCTCTTTTCCTCCTCGCCTGCTCCCTCCTCAAACCGCCCACCCTTTACCCTTCGAACCTCCTCCCTCCCACTTTCCTTTCCAGTGTCGACACCTCGCAGGGGGGGTGCCAATGAGCCGTATCTAGGCTTGCTCTATCCCACAGAAGATTATAGAGTGTAAGCAAGAAGCAGCACTGACTATTTATGCGATGTGTATAATCTGCACTTTCCACAGCCACATGTCTGTCGACCGTTTGATTCATCAAACTTTTATCTCTGCCGTTCTTCGTTTGTTTGTGTCTTTCCGTCCCTATTATCTTACCGTTCTTTGCTCGTAATTTGTGAAACTTACCCAACTTTTCACCTTCCCATCCTCCCTGTCTCTCAGGTATGGCTATGTGAGCAACACGCAGATTAAGTTCATAATAGTCGTTGATGGTCTTGATCTGAGGGAGAGCGACATAAGAAATGTAAGGAAGCATTTTCCGCTAGCATAAGCTCAAGCAGGCAATGCAGGCAAATGTGTGTTTGTTTTTTCCCAGACTTCCTTCATTACACAGTTACTTGTGTTGTTTCGTTTAACCTAAACACTGCCTACCCCCATATGATCCACTCGTCACCAACCCCTGGCACCCCTCTTCCAAACATTGCCTGTCTGTACGAATCCCCCCTTATCAGTTCTTCAAGCGGCTTCATTCAGCATATGTTGATGCCACCTCAAATCCCTTCCATGTTCCGGGAAAGCGCATCTCATCACCTGCTTTTGCGGAAAGAGTTGGAGCGCTAGTGCATTCAGTTTCTCCTCCCAAAGCTACATAGTATCACATTAGGATATGCTAGTACGCAGTGCATTGTTGTCCAACGGTAGTTGGTTTCCTGCTTGTAAACTTGTAAGACTATTCTCGTGCGTTGTGTACTTTCTGTAAGAGTTATGCAGTAGTGGAATGGAAAATGTCTTCACATCACTTAGCGTTTGCATATTGTGTCTTCACTGAACCAGCTCGTTAGTGATCGTGTAAATCTGGTCATCACAATACACTAGCTGTCTCGTTTCCACGGTCCGCAAAGCAACTCCCGCCAACACACAGCTGCTTGTCGCACCCATTAGCCAAACGGTCTACCAGGGCCGAGGCGCGAATAATTTCCCTCTCCCCGAGCCTGGCTGGCAGAGCCGAAATCGGCATGCCTGTCGCACCGGCCTAGCCTGGTTTGGTGGTGTTATCGCGTTGCGGCACCTTAGACACACCTGCACCGAGGTCGGTTTGGGCAAACAGTCAACACTGACGTAGACTGCAGGTTCGGGAATTTTCTGTCGAACGTAAATGTTGCGTTTGTTACAGCCGGCAGGCTCGTACTCGCGAAAAACCCCCAACCGTGCCTGGCTTTTTGTGAGTGAGACTGGGCACGCGGCCCGCATCTCAAACTCCGAACCGAAGTAATCCTGTGAGGCGAGATTCTGGATTCCGAACCTTTCCTTGGTTACCTCCCGAACCGTCTTCCATAACCTGCTTGATTCGTCGGTGATTGATGTAGGCTTGTGAGCTTGCGACACGGGCCCGTTCAACCGCGTGCTTCATCACATCTCCTGTCTTGTCCCGTCCCGTCATTTGCTCCTCCCACCACCTCCATTTCTCCCTATCTTTTGTTTCAGCCTCGCTGCTCCCAATCTTATCTGCACAAAAAGATCCAATAGCAGTGGGGGATTCATTCGAGCAGCTCTTTCTTACCTCTTACACGCACCCGTCAACCAGCACTTCTTATATAGCTCCCTGTTACTTCTATCTGCGTCCACCATTCCTCATAGTTGCCCGCCATCTCTTTGACGCATAGACCCGTCAGTCTTGAACTCAATCTATAAACCACCTCCCTCCCCAGTTCAGCTGTCGGTTGCTGCAGCTCCCCCAACCTCTCCTCAATTCAATTTCTACCGCCACCTCACCATGTCGACCTCGCCGAGCAGCACTCAGCCCGCGCAACAGAGCTTGCTGGCGAAGAAGATGGTCATGGGTGGCAGTGTAGTGCTGTGGATCGTTTTGAGCTTCTCCGTTATCATCTTCAACAAGTACATCCTCGACCGGCGACTGCTCAACTGGCCGTTCCCCATCAGGTGAGAAATTTGAATCCTTACACGAAGTGTCAATCCAAAGAGTATGAGCCAATTGGGCGCACAAAAACTCGCTGGGCAGGATTGCTCGTTGCTCGGATGTTACCACAGCCCTTTTATTTGCACATCCGTGAATGGCCTCGCCTCGAAGCTAGAACTCGCGATGACGTTAGGCAGCGCGAAATGCAAATGTAAGAGAGTAGCGGAATCAAGGGTTGTAAATAATCAGGGTTGCATGTAGCCAGCTTAGCGCGTTCTTGTTGTCCGTAGCTTTAATTTAATAGCCCCTACTTTTTATGCTTTCCGCCTCGTGACCTTGCCACCTAAATTGCACCAATCGTTACCAGACATGCTGCATTCGTCGCCCTAATCCTCAACAACTCACGTACCAAACTTCTCACCCCCCACGTCCCCTGTCATGCCTCGCTGCGCGCAGCCTGACGATGATCCACATGGCCTTCTGCTCGTCGCTCGCCTTCCTGCTCGTCAACGTCTTCCGCGTCGTGCAGCCGCTGCCCGGCGGCCTCAAGCCCGACACCTACTTCACGAGCGTCGTGCCCATCGGCGCGCTTTACGCGCTCAGCCTGTGGTTCTCCAACTCGGCGTACATCTACCTCTCCGTCTCCTTCATCCAGATGCTCAAAGCGCTCATGCCCGTCGCCGTCTACCTGCTCGGCGTCGCCTTCCGCAAGGACGCCTTCCGCGCCGCCACCTTCTCCAACATGATGCTCATCTCGTTCGGCGTCGCCATCAGCGCGTGGAGCGAGGCCAACTTCAACGCCACGGGCGTGCTGCTGCAGCTCACGGCCGTGGCGTTCGAGGCGACGCGCCTGGTCCTCATCCAGATTCTGCTCACCTCCAAGGGCATCTCGCTCAACCCCATTACCAGCCTATACTACATCTCGCCCGTCTGCCTGCTCTTCCTCTCCGTGCCCTGGTTCCTCGTCGAGTTCCCCAAGCTCGTCCCGGTCTTGGCGGCCGGCGCGCACCCGAGCGTACTCGTGTTCGGCGTCAACTGCTTGTGCGCGTTCGCGCTGAACCTGTCGGTGTTCCTGCTGATCGGCAAGACGTCGGCGCTGACGATGAATGTGGCGGGTATCATCAAGGACTGGCTGCTCATCGCCTTCTCCTGGTCTGTCATTGCCGATAAAATCACCACCTTCAACCTGCTCGGCTACCTGCTCGCGTTCGCGGGCGTGTGCTGGTACAACCACGTCAAGATGCAGGTATGTCGCTGGAAGAAATTAGGACAACACCTTTGCCATATTCATGTCTGTCTGTCTCTCTCCCTTTCCTGTCAACATGTACCTGCAACATGGTTTTCATGCTTGCTGCCCACCTGTCCCTCATCTTTCCCTGTTCCTCCATCCTCCGTGTTTCCCCCGTTGCTCTCATTCTTACAGGAGATGAACGCCAAGGAAGCAGCCAAGAAGCAGGCACAACAAACGGACGAGGAGGCAGGACTGCTGGAGGCCTCCAGAGAAGCTCAAAAGTAGGAGAGGCTGTGCTTGTAGCTGCGGCACTTGCTGGCCCTCTGTGTTACTGCCTCAATGCTACCCCACCCTGTAGCACGCAGAAAGTTATAGGAGAGACTCTGACATAGTTGCCCTTCTTTGGTACCATTAATTGTTACTAGGCTTAATGTAGAACCGTTTTATGCCATTTCCTCCGCATCTGCTCCACTGGTCCTATTTCACCGACCAGTTAGCTTCAGCGACAGAAGCTGCTACAAAACAAAAAGAGTAGCAACCAGTGTTACTGGTCCATGGCCACGAGCGCAGGAAGCTGATTACTATGTAGGGATGTTAAGCGCAATGAAAGAACCCAGCCTTCCAGCAGCAACAGTTCAAAACACAATAGCTTAGTAATATGCCTGGTTTTCCTCGGACGAGTGGAATAGACCGAGGGAAACGGAGACGGGGGGGCAGGTAAGAGAGGGACAGAGTGAATGTATATTTGTGATGTTGGAAAACCGAATACAGTGTAACGAATACTGTATACCAGTGCTGTTTGGTTTTAGTGTAGCCTCCATGATAAGGGGGGGAGATTTACTGTTCCCTTTGAACAGTACTTTCCAACTCACCCTTATCCTTATCCTCCTTGATTTCCTTGTGCCACCTGACGCTCTACTTTTCTTGCTTCTACTTTCTAGTCCCACGAAGTACTTTCCATCATTAGATCCTGCATGCTATATCAACCTTGCTTGTATTCCCCAATATCAAACAATTCTCAATCCGTTTCCAATACAAGCTTTCTATCTTGTTCTTTCTACAAACACGTTTCCGCTACGGTGGCACTATGCCTTTCTAGCATGTGAAATGTCAGCCCTGGACTGTTGGACTTGGACTGCCGGTCCCCATGCTTGTGTCGCCCCTTCTTGTCTCACCTCCCTTCACTGCGGCTCCCCCGGGATGGACTCTCCACACCGCCTCCTTTCGCTGTGCCCTTCCTCATGCTGGGCCCCTCCCAAATTGTCTCCCCTCACATGGCCTTCCTATCACATTGCCCCCCGCCACACCGTGGACCCCTATATAGCTAAACCCTCCCTCTCCTAAGGAAAAAAAGCATGTTTCTTCCATTACTTTACACTCCGTACTGGCGAGGGTCTGTGTGAGCCTTTGCCACGCCTTTCATTTCCTTCACACTGTATGAGGAGGTTCCCTTTTACAGAACTGTGCATGCACACTGTACAACAATCTATGATTCATTTACTGTCTGTTATCTATATTGGCAGTACAGGTCATGCTGACAATGCCAACCAATGCGTGCACAAAGCATTGTGCTCCACAAATGAATCTGACAAGGGGGGCGGAAATTCGTAATTCCCGCTGACTTTGCTCCGCCGCTCACAACAACATTATAATTTTTAAACACACTGATGTTTTTCAAAATTGTGTATTGTGAAAGCGAAGCTGCCTGTACCGAATATTTGGCAGCGTCGAAGCGCGCTAAACGCCCTTCTCCAACTACAAAAACCGTGGGTTGGAGTTCATTCCCTCCACCCACGTTTCTCGTTTTCCAACGGCTCAATCAACATTTCCGTTCGAGTAGTTCTTTTCCCCGTCCAAGCTGGCTAGAACTCGCACTCTTCCCAGAGCCCAGTCACCCTCAACACTTCTGCAAGACATTTTCAACCACAACCGCTCTACAATGGCGTCTACGCCGGCACTTAACCGCGGCAATTCGTCTGCGCCGAGTTCCGACACCGATCGTAACGCCCGAGAAATGACGGGCGATCGCCGTAACAAGCGGCGGGCAGAGGAAGGATCGCCCGCCCCAACTGCCGTGGACGTGCTGTTGGGCGGGCTCGAGGTCAACAAAAACTCGAGCCCGCCCCAGCAGCAGCACCCCTCGGCCCCTGTGGCGCCTGTGGCGCCTGTGGCGCCTGAGGCGCGTGTGGCGCAAGTGGCGACGGCGGCACCTGCAGCACCTGTGGCGCCACACGCGCCTGACGCGGAGCACACGCCGGCGCCTGTGGCTGGACCGTCGCGTCAGCGCCAGAGGCGCCGAACAGCGACTTCCTCTGACGCGACGACCCCGGCGTTGACCAACGCGTTGACTCCGGACCAGGTCGCCGCGCTTCTGTCCCTGTTACAGCAACAGCCCGCCAGCGTTACAGCTACGGAAATCGCACAACCTGCGGCCTCTGCATCTGCTAAAAAGGAAAACGCAAAAGGAGAAAAAGGAGCGCAAGGAACAACGGCGAACCGGCACGACAAGGAAGCACCGGCCAGCATCCCACCTGCGCCAGCGGCCGACAACGACACCGACGGCTCCGACGACGATGATGGTGAGGCTCCGGTCCATACCAAAAATTTTAATTCCATGGAGCATCTTCCCCCCCTCCCCTCTACTACTAACACCACTTGGTCGGCGGCGACGTTCAACGACGAGCACGTGCGGGCGAAAGCGGAAATTCTGGAGGACATGCGGGCTTACCTGAAACACGCAGAGTACAAGCTGCAGCACGTCGACTTGGCGGGCGGACTCGAAATGGTCGTCACCGCCCTCGACGACATTTCCGCGCGCTTCGACATGTTTCAAGTCGAAGACGCCGCCGACGACCGCGTGGCCAAGCGCTACAAAATGTACATGCAGAAAAGTCTTCTCACCTCACGGCCGTTCAAGCAAGCCGTCGCAGACGTGGCTGCCATGGACCGAGCGGCGAGCGCTCACGCTCGCTCCCACCGTGGTGGAAACCACGGCGCCACGGCGTTCGCTCCAAAACGTGGCCCTCCAACCTCGGGCAACTTCCAAGGCTTTCGTGGTTCGTGTTTCCGCTGCGGCCAGCCTGGCCACGTCGCCAATGCCTGCCCTCGGAATGGGCATGGGGGCCAAGGACCCGCACCGGTTGTGTAGGGGTCGGGCTATGGTGAAGCGCGCCACTAGGCGCGATGCACGGTGCACTCTTGAGTGCTTAGACCGTGGGCAGCCTAGTAGGGCTTGCGGTAGACGTGGCCAGCCCTAGGATAGGGTGGTAGAATTTGGCCATAGGCCTAGCTTTGGGGAAGAGGAAGAATGCCTCTCGGTCCCCTAGGATAGGGTAATAAAGTATGGCCGTAGGCCTAGCTTTGGGGAAGAGGAAGAATGCCTCTCGGTCCCCCGTATGCCCCAATTGATGGGATGAGAAGCATGCTAGTAGGCATGACAATGTATGACCATGAGAGATAGGGATTTTATTTAAGGCCCCCTCTGGTTTGTGAAGGATAAAAAAAAAAAAAAAAAAAAAAAAAAAAACAAGAAACAAAAGGGTGGGGGCGAAACGCGAGGAGGAGAAGGGGAGAGGGAGAAAATGAGAGTACGCACGTTCCTCAAACCGCCACCATGCATTGCAAGGATGGGCAGCTGTGGTTCAACTTTTGGACAACCAACAAGGGCGAGAGAGGGGGGGCATAGCGAGGTCGCCTAGCCCAAGTGAAGGCACGCGCGGAAAGGCACAAGCCCATGGCAAGCGAAGCATGCAAATGCTCTAACAATAATGAAAACACACACAAAAAGAGAGGGAGAGAGAGAGCGAGAGTGAGAGAGAGAGAGAGAGAGAGAGAGAGAGAGAGAGAGAGAGAGAGAGAGAGAGAGAGAGGGAGAGAGAGAGAGAGAGAGAGAGAGAGAGAGAGAGAGAGAGAGAGAGAGGGAGAGAGACAGAGAGAGAGCGATCAAGAGGGAAGCATGATCATGGTCCCAAGCATCAATCCTACAGCAAGGTAAAAAAAAAAAAAAAAAAAAAAAAGAGGGGAGGGGACAGGAGAGAGTATGGGAAAGAGTTTGCAAAGGTGCGATCGGACGCCCTATATGGAATGATGACAAACCGTCCGTATGGTTCTCACTGTTGACGGTTCATCTTTCGCGCATGCATGTGTATGTCACACGCATTCACTAATTAAGGCGTGTAACTTGATTGGTCCCGTTCATTTCCTTGTCGTACATACAGGAGCACATCAATACGAGGTGCCTCGTGACGATGGCCCGTACGAATTCGCCGTCACGGACAAAACCGTCACACGGATGTGCGGTCGGCTTCGCTCGACCTTTGCGTGGTGGAGCTCATGGTGCCCTTGCAGCCTCGTCCTATCCATAATCGCCAACGGTTACTGGCTTCCATGGAGCCACGGTCCACCACAGGCCTTCCGGGAGCGTAACCACGCTGGTGCATACGCGCATGCTACGTTCACACGTACTGCCATCCAAGAACTCACAGAGACCGGAGCTGCAGTCGAGACAGCCGCAAGCGAGCTTACGTGCATAAGCCCACTCAACGTGGTCGAGCAGAGAGAAAAATGCAGGCTCATCCTCGACCTGAGTAAAGTCAACGCAAACCTCATCGTTCCAAAATTCAAGTATGAAGGACTCAGCCGCGTGGCAGACGTGGCACGCGCTGGGGATTGGATGTTTTCTATTGATCTCAAATCCGGGTACCATCACATCGACATTCATCCCTCATGCTGGAAGTTTCTCGGATTTGGATTCGATGGGCGCACTTACTCCTTTCGTTCACTGCCGTTCGGTCTTGCGACAGCCCCATTCGTCTTCACGCAACTTATCAAGCAGCTAGCCCATCGCTGGCGGGAGCAAGGCATTCGAGTAGTACCATACGTGGACGACATCTTATTCCTCTGCCAGTCAAAAGCCCACGCGCAGGCCACTTGCCACCGTGTAATACTGGACCTTAAAGCAGCGGGTTTGGTGATAAACGCGAAGAAATCACAGCTGTCACCATCGCAACACCTTCGATTCTTGGGTGTGGAGCTAGACACGGCCACCGGTCGATTTACCATCGGTCCCGAACGACGAGCCTCACTACATGCAACCATTCGGAACCTGTTGAGCGCAAGCGAGGCATGTCGACCCGTCTCAGTCCGCCAAGTGGCCAGAATCACAGGCATGCTCGCGTCAATGGGCGTCGCGCTGGGCGCAACAGCTCGTGCTTTCAGCCACGCCATGCTACAAGTGATCAATGACGCACCTTCATGGAAAAGCAGTGTGATCATCCCCCCACCCG